AAGTTACGAATTAATCTCATATTATTCATAGTTCTTTTACTTTTGAATTTTTGACAATGTAATCATTCCAAAACACAATAATAGCTTACAGCATTTATAAAAATTTATTATATAATTTTTTTTTAATAAAAATATTCCATTAATCCCATTATTATATTGAACACTTAAGGAAATAAAATCTATTTATGTGCATTCAATTCTCTATGCATATTTTAATTCGAATTAAAATTTACAAAATTCAAAAATCCATACACAAAAAATAAGTAAAAAGTCAAAAAATATTAAAAAAATATTGTTTAAAATTTAAAGTAATTCTTTTTAAATAAATCCGACATTACACACAGTACAGATTCATATAGACTTACATATTTGCTTTAAGAAAACCTGAAATAGATAAAAGTATAATTTTAAGCACTACTTTTATAAATTATCTTCCATCGTCTATATTTAAAGTTATTTTAGTGCAACGAACTAAAAATCAAATCAATATGAAAATAAAAGTAAATATACAAGGAGTAAAATTATAAATTGTATATAAAAGCTATGATTAAATAACATATTTTTGAATTAGACTACATCAAAACTTGTTACAATTTGTATAAAAAATTTTTCCTATCTATTACTTACATATATACTTAACACATAAATGCATCATGAAATTGTATATATACGCGTAATTCAATTTAAAAATCTCTTCCTGAAATTTTATGCTAATAATTGTAACATAGATGCTGTCTCACATACATACTTATGTACATTAGTATAAAGGCATACCTACATACATTATAAATAAAGTTAATACAGAAAATAATGTTTTTAAAAGTACAGCGAAAAGAAAAACAATCACGAGTAATAGGAGTGAAATTTTTTATAATTTTTTTTGAAAAAAATATGACCGCTTGGACTCACCCAATTGTAAAAATTTTCACTTTTCGTACAATAGATTATGATAGTGGAACATTACACGATGTGATTTGTCTTCTTGGACTACAAACATTAAATGCAAAGAATTTTTCGAATTAAGGAGCATGAATTTTTTTGTTGATATTAGCGACAGTATTTGCTAATTTGCTTACTTTTTTTTTGTTGTTATTCATTATTAATTTAAAATTTTTATAACTATATTTATTTTCAAATACAAATACATTTTTTTTGTTGTACACCTTTACCATTTTATACTGGTTAAAATTTTATAAAATTGTTCTATTAAAATTTTGTCTGTATGCCCAAAAAGGGAATTGAAAGTTAGACATTCCAGAAGAGTAAGAACCAGATGACAATATTCGTGCGTATTTGTTTGTGGCAGGGTATGGTAAGAAAATATTTGAGGAGCTTGCTCTAAATGTTTGTGATACCTGCAAGTTCTGTGAAGAAAGAGAATGTAATCGCCCGTTTTTTGGATGCCTAGAGTATCAATTCTTAAGGGAAAAGAAATCCTAGGAAACTAATTGCGTAGGAGGAAACCGACGTAATTACTTTAGTTTTGTTGGGGTTAAAAAATTAATCGATTTTATTAAAACTAATCGTTTTTGATTTACACGAGGATGCCAAAGGCATTCACGAGATTGGGTACGGTTATCTCTTAAATAAAATTTAAAATCTACATTCTCGAAAATTATGCAATTACATATTTTATTTAGAATCGCGTTATATTACATTTTGAATTATTGATTCAGAGAGAGTCCTAAGATAACTCCTCTTATTGAAACCTTTATATTTTTATTTATATTTTATTAAGACAATTATTTGAACCCGTAAATATTTATGTAAAAATAAAATTATTATATTCCTTTGGTATAGATATAAAATATTCGAGGTCACAAATATTATGATTTATTTTAAAAACAAAAGAATATAATAATGACGTTTTTCCTTTTGTAACAATGAACATTCTAAGGACATTTCTTAAGGCCATACCAAAGAATATGATAAGATTGTGACCGATACAAATATGCGTTTGTATATGTACATTAATATGATGTTATATATGTACAAGCTACAAATACACAACACAAATTACAATTTAATAATTTATTCGCAAAAGTTTTTGAACGTTGTCTGAATATTTCAATAGGTTTAGAAGAATTTGTGCTACAAAATTACATTTAACTTATTGGAACTTCGATTTAATTGGACGAAATGATATAATTGTAATGTTAAATGGTTGATTTCGACTGAAAATCGAATTAAATATTTGAATAATTTATTCATCATTTTTGAAGTATTTATGTACAAACGCCTGGTACAATGACAGAGTTCAAGAAAGTCTGGTTATTTAAACTCTCATATCTATAATGTAAATAATTAATAAAATTAGGATTCGCTATCCCAGTAAAAGGTGGAAATTAAGAAATTTACGATTTGTTCAAGGCGCATGTTATATTTTTTTTATGGCGGCTTTTGATTAACTTCTTGGAATATCTAATTCGCTACAAGAACTCTATGCAATTTTCATATAAAATTTCACACAATTACTTTCACACAAACGGAATCTGGTATTGTATAGTACAAAAAATCTAGATCCTGTAATTTTTATCAATAGTATTTTTAAACTAAAAATAAATGCATAATATTAAAGTCGAGGTAAAGGTGTATTTGTATTTATTTTTTATTTTTGGATTTTATGATACAAAAAATATGAAAATTAAATTTAAAATATTTCTTATTGTATACCAATTTGTTGTTGAACTATATTGTCCGATTGCATTCATTTATAATGTTAAGTTAGATGTGTGCATTTCTTGACAACATCTGATATGACATCAAACAATAAAACAATTTTTAATATACGCCGCTTTTATATTTTGTATAACTTTTATTTTTTGTAGCTGCTGCCAGTCATATTTATTTCATTTTATATAATAGATTAAATCTATATTATAAAGCCGCACTTGAGACATTTTTATTTTTTACCTTTATGTATATAGAAACTTCAATATATTGATAGTTAGTCCGTATTGCATATGAGAAGATATGATTATTTAGATAAAACTTGTAATTTTCTTTTAAAATAACTTGAATTTCTACACTAGTTAATATTTATTACACAGATAATCTTTAAACCACTAAGACAATTACCAAGTATCCTAGTTAATTTTCTTATTACACATTTTAATGTGGCGAGTATTTAAAATTTTCTTTTCTTGTTTGTATTGTAATTTTTTTTTGTCTTATTTTCTTAAATATTCGAAAACAAAAAGTATAATGCAATAATACTCAAACCTTGAAATATTTCTTTTATGATGCAGAGTATCTTGTCGACTTGAGTCATCGTAGATAGCTTGTGAAAGAAATAAGAAATTTCTTTAAGAAAGAATGGGTAAATTAAATTAGATTCACTCAATTACGAGATCTAATACCTTTATTGACTACAAATCAAAAATCATCGAATGCAAAGTGTTAATATCATAGTGTTGAGCAAATCTTACTACCTTTCAAAAACTAAAATATTGCACTTACAATAATAGTGTCTAGTTTAATCACTTTACGTATTTTAGTAATAGACTAGAACAGTTTACAGTGCTTGAACTTAGGTAAAGTAATTTTATACTTTACCTGATGATGATGAAAGTATTCTTCAATTTTGTTAATATTCTTTGGATTCGCACGTAAGTGGAAATGTTACCCTACTAAGCCATATACACATAAACGTGTGTATTTGTAATGGAATTTGTAATATTGTAAAATCAATTAGAAGAGTGTATAGATGATGGCAAGAGTGTCTTTTATATATTATAGCAAATATAATTGGAAAGTTGAAAATTTTTCTACTAGAAACATAATTTATGAAGACTTTTCCTATTGTATCCAAGGAGCCAAATTTCATTTCAATTTTTTTATTAAGTTTTTGAATGGTAAGAAAGTATATTTGTTGGTTTTTTATTACACACGCCATAATAAAAACTGAATAATTTTAGTTTTTATATTTTCTTATTTAATTTGTAGCTTATTCGAGCATATCAAAGAAGCATTGAAGTAAAATTGTAAGCCAATGTGCTTAAAATTAAGAAAATGAAAATTGAATTGTTTTATTTGAAATGCAATTCTCTGTGAGTCAATTGAATTAAGTTAATCTGTTGACCACTATATTATTAAATAAGTACAAGTATAGATAAAATTTCAATATTCTTAATCCTACTGTGAATTTAGTTTTTCAAATTCCGTTAGAAAAATATATAAACCATAGAAAAATAAGTCTTTTTCTTCTTAGTCTTAAAAGACTTGGTTGATAATTTTTCTTTTCTTTTTTGCAATTGAAGGATTGAGGTCAATTTTAAACTAGGTAAATTCTAAATAACCTTGTTCTTATTTTATATTTTATTCTTAACTTTGGTAATTTTATTGACTAAGCTTTTCGGTAAGAAAATTTAATGAAGACGCCAATTAATATTTTGTCTTTACTTTGTTTTTTTTTAAACATAGAGAAATTTTAAAAAAATAAACTGAAATAATTAATTGAATTAATAAAAATTTAAACTATTATGATATGAAAATAATTTTGTTATTAATATTGTAAGTTCCTTTAAATATTTTTCGAATATTTTGTTGCCATATGCCAAATAAAATTTCTTACTTTCACCAACATTCTCTTAGACGCATAATTTTAGGTAGCGTTATGAATATTAAGGTTTTCAGAATAGAATTTCAAATTTCGAAATTGATTTTTTTGCTGAAAATCCCATCTTCTTAGGAGATCCGTTCACATGGGTATGCTGCAAAAGTTATGAAAATTTCTAAACTGAAAATGGTATGCAAAACCAAAAATTAAAAAAATTTTAAAAATATTGCATAAATCTTGCATTGTAATATTCAAGAGCAAATTTATTATAAAAATTGCATAATTGCAATTTAATTTTAATAAAAGTTTATTAAAAAAATTGCATACATTTAGGATAACATGAAGCTTTCTTACTTTTAATTACAAAACCTAATCATTATTAGCCAGCATTCAGAATTTTTAAAATCTTTAATTAATAAATAAAAAAATTTTTTAATTTTAGAATATAACAAGAACACGCACAATTCGTTTTTGCTGTGAAGGTTATGCTGGAGTGTTATCAGCTAATGAAACTATTTGTAAGCCAATTTGCCGTGGTGGTTGTGGTAGAGGATATTGCAGATCCCCAGATGTCTGTAAATGTGATCTCGGTTATATTGGAAAACATTGCACTCAAAGTATCAAAATAAATTACAAAATTAATTTTTCATAAAAAAAGTGTAATTTGTTTTATTTGTAGGATGTTCTCACGATAGGTGGGGTGAAGATTGCTCAAATCATTGTCATTGTCGTAATGGTGGAGTATGTGATAATAAAAATGGTGCTTGCCGTTGTTCAAGTGGTTGGATTGGAGAAACGTAAATTAAATTTTTACATTTTTAGAAAAACCTTTAAATAAATAAATGAGTTGTTTATTTCAAAATTTTTTTAAATAGATGTGAACAAACTTGCGCACCTGGATTTTATGGTTATATGTGCAAAAAGCTGTGTGAATGTAGCTCAGAACGCTGCAATCCTCAAACAGGAGAATGCATATCAAAAGAATCAAATGATAATTCACTTAAAAAGAATTTACAAACTATAAAAGCTGCTTCAGATTTATTAAGTGATTCAATAAAATCTCAATCAAAAGAAATTGTCCAATCGACAACTAATACACGACAATCTATTCTTACAACAGAACCAATAATCATAAAACAAAAAGATATTGAAAAGGAGACATTTCAAAGAACATATATTGAATTTGGAATACCTAGAATTTCTGCAATGGATTTTACAACAGAACAAAATATGGCTGAATTAATTTTATATAAGCAGGATAATGTTGCAGATAATACACATTTAGATTCAAATCCTAATCATATATCACCAGTTGTTGTTACAAATATACCAACAGAACTAGAAGAAGATGAATTAACGAGATTAAATCCAAGAGTAATTCATGTTATTGATTGGCAACAACAACATCATTCAAATTCAGATAGCAATATAACATTTATACCTAATGATGATGATATAGATTTTACAAATACATTTGAAAAAAGTTATTCAGGTGTTATAACATCTTTGGCACTATTTTTAATTGTGTTAATTGTATCTGGAATTGCATTTTTAATATTTCATAAGCGACAAAATAACAATGTCAATAATTCAACATATTTGAGTAAAACTACAGGAAATAGTGGCAGTAGTACAACAATGGTAACAACAAATGCAGAAAATTTTAAAACATTTATTCAACCTTTACCTGATCTACCGGCATTTACACAAAATCTACGTAAAGCTAATGAAGATGGTACGTAAAATTAAATTTGAAATTAATTAAAAAAAAAACAAAATGCCTTTTTTTTTTTGTTTTCCCTTTCGAGTTATCAATATTTTTTAGGAATGCTCTGCTTTTATGTAGTTCCAGAATTCTATGATAGTCCAACGAATAATTCAGCTGTTGTTAAAAGTACATATACAACAACATATGGTACACCGGGACCATTATATTCAAGTGTTGGACCAAAATTACATCGAAAGGAAAGCTTAGAGAATCATCTGTATGATGAGATACGTTATCCGACTGTAAAAAGCTGTAGAGTTTAAGAAAATATTATTATTTTTTTTTTAAGTCAGAAATAATTAGGAATAACATTTTAATTTTTTTTTGTATTTTAATTTTTAATTTTCTTCTGTAATTTTAACTTATTTCTTTTTTTTTTTTTTACACTGCCGCCATATTTTTTTTTTAATTTTTATTGAAAACCAAAGTATTACTATATGATAAAAAAGAGCAAGATTCATTGAAATTGAAAATATGCAAAAAAAAACAAGTGCTATAATAATTGTAATATATTAGAATTTAATTTAAAAACCAAAAAGAATTAAAAAACAAAAGAATTAAAGAGCAAAGAAAAAATAAATTTTAAAATTAAATTTGTTTTTTTTATTAAAATATGTGAATTAATTTGTTCCTTCTATAACTGATGCCTGTGACATCAGAGGTTTTAGGCTAAATGTTATAATTACAAAGTATAACACAAACTTGATAACCTTATCTATGTCTGTTGAGAAGTTATGCTGCAGTTTGGCAGTATTCAAACTTCCAAAATCTTTAATTATATTTGACACATTTTTATATAAAATTCGTTATCTGTGCTAAATTTGCAAAACAGGAATATTATAGAAAACCTGAAACGATGACATGCTTTCAAAAACAGTAAATAGTTATTGTTAGAAAAAGTACTATTGTTCTTAGTATTTACTATATTTTATGGTTTAAGAATTTCATATTGCATAATTTATTATAATTGTGCCCAAACTAGTGACATATTAGAATGCGTGTAACAGTTATAAAACAATAGCGAAAATTTATATGTGTATGACGAATGAGTTATACAAGAACTAATCCAATTGAAATTATTTGCAATATTATAATTTGTTGTGGGTTTGGGTGAAATAATATATTGTGTAATGTTATTTAGCACGGTTTTATGGGAAAAAATGGCATATTATGTCCGATTATGCGATATTCATTCAATAAATTATTAGTTTAAGCTTTGTATATGACTTACAGTTCTCGATTTTACAAATGTTAAAATATAAAATAAATTTAGACTAATTCTGTTTTTCCAATGATTTTATTATTATTGAAATTCATTGATAACTACTTTTAATTTCAATAATAATTTACTAAAATTATAATACATAGGTGTATACGAATAATTGAGGGTTAATAATTTAGAAAGCATAAAACCAATATAACATAAATTAAGTGCCTTTACCCAGTCAAAATTTTCTATTATTAATAAAAAATTTGTGTAATTTTAACGGGTTTTTTAGATATGTGGTAGCCAAATATTTATGCCACATAATAAACTATACATATTATATAAACATATATGCACATTTATTTTTATAAAATTAAGCTTTGAAATTTGGAACTAAAAATTTACATATTTTGTTTGCTTGTGTCATGCAAGTTCATAGAGTGTAGTTAAAGAATATTCATGGTAACTGGTTTAATATTGTCTTGGTAAGAAATTACAATATGTTGGAGATAAACTTTTTTATGCTGTTTCACTACACTTTTCCTTGCAATGCCACTCAAACTAGCATATGGACCTTTCAATTGGACTGTGTTTAAAATTGACTTGTTTTCAGATACTTATATTGTATTTTATGTAATATAAGATGCTTATAGGATCTTTTTCAATTCTCATCCCCATTTAGAGCTCAGATCCAGTGCCTCTTTGTGGTAATAGTGCCTCTTTTGGAAAATTTCAGGCTCAAATGAGTCTGAAAATTGTCATCAAATTGACAGCGAAAAGACAATATTTAGTAAATATATTAGCCAATAACCTCAAATATTGACGACTTATCGTAATAGGTTTCCTTCCCAGATTTCAAAGAATAACCAAGATGGGTGTATCACATTCTCATCAAAATATAATTTAAGGGACATAAACTTTTTAAGATTGTAAAAAATTTTGTTTTGAAAGATTGTTTTTCCTAGAGCAAAAGTTTTCCATCATAAATTTATTGTGGCATGACATGTTCGGTAGATTTTAACTACAAAATATGAATTTTCAAAAATCGTAGGGAAATTTTTAATGTGTTCGAACATTTTATAAACGTACTGTAGTTTTGCAAAAAAATAATTCATAATATTTTTGGCAATCACATTAAAATTTTCTGAGAAAAATGATTAAAAAATTATAATTATCGCAATTTCAAATAGTTCTAATTTTTATTTCCATTTATTTATGTATAAGCTACCATATTTGGCGCAATTCTTGGTAACTGAATTTTAGATAAAAAATTAAAAGCATTTTTTTTATTTCTTGAAAGTTGAATAGTCGCCGTATTGTTAAATTTTGTATTTTATTTATTATACCTGAGTAGTTTAACTAAATTTGAATAAGTAGTGTTGATGATTATTCCATAAATACATATTTGAATTTTATCGCTCTAAATTTGCTCTTAAATATTAATAAAGTTTAAGTTTTCTGAGAAATTAAAATTCTCATCTCCGTAATTTTATACTCAATAATCATAACATTCAGAGAATAAATTGTATTCAAAACAAAAACTAGAAATCTTTTGTTATTACACACTATCTTATTCCACCCACATAATATTTTTGTAAAAACAAAATATTTTAAGAGCTTATGAAAAATTCAACATCCTCAAATCTTAGAATTTTCAAAGTCAACCACAATAATATCTAAACCTTAAAAGATAAACAATATTATTATTATATTTAGACGTGTTTATGTATATGTGTGAGTACATAATACTTAAATATGAAACTTATTAAAAGACTAAGTAAAATTAAAACAACTTTTATTTTCACTAATTGTTCACTAATAACTTTCAGTTGATATTAGAACTTATAACAATAAAGATCGTAAAATAAAAAGAAAAAAAATATTTCGAAATTTCAATAGATTTTTTTTTTAAAATCATGAGAATATTATTTACTGTGATATTATTAATTCCAATTGGAGTTCTAGGACAACTTGGAATTAAAACAAAACAGCATTCTGCACAAAATAATCAAGCATATGAATTATATTCATTAAATCATTATCAAAATGTTAATCATACGGCTGGAGGTAGTGTAAATTATACATATGGTGCAGGATCATCAAATAATATTAATAATTATGATATGCAATATCCACCTTTACATCATGGTAGCGGTGGAAGACCGCAACCATATCCTGGACAACCTAATAGTGGATCACTTGTTGTTGTTGATAAAACAGTAAAATTTTTGAATGAAACAAGATCTAAAATGGCATCTGGTGTCTGTTATAAGGAAGTTAAGTAAGTGAATTTATATTTTAGTATAATTTGAACAAATATTCGATTGGCCATTAAATAATTTCAAATAAAATATTAATTAAATGTTATAAAATCAAAAAAAATTATCAAAATCGTTAAATATTATCATGTGAATAATAAATTGTGCATTTATTATGCACAAGTTAATTAAATTAATTTTATATTACTGATGTAATCGGCGAACTTCTCAATTATATTGGACGCCTACTCAATTCAATAATTTTAGTTTTAGTTTTGCTATATGCGCCTTATGATTTTCTTATTATTTTTATATGGTAAAAAACAATATATTTTAATTAATTATACATTTTGATTTCTAGAGTTGTTATTAATCGCGTAACTTATTAATTTTAAATTATATTAAAGTCAACACTCATGGGACGGGGTAAGATCAAAAGTGGGTTAACCAACAATTTTTAAAAATCATTTTTGAATTGTAAAACATACTGTTATAATTAAAATTATGATGCAAAATGAATGTTACTTTCTGACATTCTCTCCACCTTGTGATATTAACGTTATAATTTTTCTCTCCACAAGGGGAGATAAATTCAGAACTACATTTTAATTAACAACTATGATATTTTCTGATATTAAAACGATTTTAAAAATTATTGGTTAGCCCGCTCTTGTTCTCAGCTCCACCGCATTATTATAATAAAGATTATCTCACATGTATTAAAAATTTTATATTCAAATTACAGTTAATGTGAAGCATACTGTATGCACACATTGTCACAAGGTAATAATGTGTGAAAATTTGACAGCAACCGAATACAAAAATTGAAAATTAAAATATGGAAAAAATTTGTTTTTGAACGGTTACTAAAATTTGCCACAACATAACCATTACCGTTTTTTTTCACTCTTACTTTTAAAATAAATTTTCTGTACAGACTTTATGACTCAAAGTTTAAATTTATGACGTTATTGACTTATTTAATAAAAATAAAAATAGAATATGCATATATTAAAATAATAATATCATCATATCATAAATATGTATGTATGTGTATGCACCAACATTTTGGATAAGAACACGATTGAAAATAATTTAAGTCGCTTTAAGAATGCTAATGAGCTAGACAATTTTCATGTGTGATAATATTATTCTTGAATGATTAATAATTTACGTTTTATATTACTTAAATTAATGCTTATAAAACAGATCATATAAAAATTATTCAGCTGTGGGGATGATTACAAGTGCCATTTGCCAATTAAACATTTTAGGGTGAGCCAAGAGCTTTGGTATGATGCAGTTTCCAAATATAATAGAATAATGACAAAAATACATGAAAATTATTCATAATGTCGAACGTGTGCCTTAGCATCTACAAAGTGAAGCTTTCTTTATACTTTCCACAATAGGATACAAATAGTCCACTATGTAATTTAATTTTTATAGAATTCGTATTTTTGGGTATGATATTCACAATTAGCAATTGTTAGTTATTATGTTTAAAGCAGACTTAAGACATCACATTTTTTTTTTAAGAATTTTGATTAACAAAAACTAGATGGGGTTGTTTTTCTTGCGTGAAACAAAATTCCGAAATTATTACTTTAAATATTCAAGTACATTATTTTATTTTATAATAGGCATAGGCACATAGTTATAAGATGATCATATCATTTAAAACTTAAAAAAAAAATTCGCGAACTAAGACAAATTGTGAAATAAAACTAAAACATATCACTAACTTTTGCTCTTTTTAGAACTGTAACATTAGTATCAGCTGGGGAAATACCAAAAGGAAATGGGTCAGATCCAACACTTAGTAAAATTCGTGTATGTTGTGATGGTTATGAAAGAAACGTTCATAATTTCTTACAATGTGATCCAATATGTAAGAATGATTGCATAAATGGAATTTGTGTTGCACCGGATGTTTGTGTATGGTAAGTTTAGCGCGCATTATTCTTAAAACTAAAAAAAAAAAACTATTAAATTTTTCGCGATAAAATTGCGGCAGGAAATAAAAATAAAGAAAGCAAAAAAATAAAACAAAGTTCACAAAATTTTGTTTTCTGAAAAGCTTTGATAAAAATTCAAAATTTTCCCAAAAGCATTTGCTTATCTCAATTTCAATAAATAAAAAAAAACAAAATTAAACTAAAATTTTCTAGTGCAAAGTTTGTTGCAAAGTTTTCTATGTAATTTAAAAAAAATTTGTTTTGAAACTATTTTTAGTTTATCCTTTTTATTTTTGATTTTCAAGTTATCCAGATCATGTACGCAATTACGCTGGATATTGTTTACCAACATGCCCAATAGGTTGCGGTAATGGTGTATGTCAAGATGACGGATCCTGCTTATGTAAACCAGGCTATGAATTAGATCATTTTAGTAAGAAATTCTGTGCACCAGTTTGTTCAAATGGTTGCCGTAATGGTAATTGTACAGCACCAGAAGTATGCGAATGTTCTAATGGTTTTGAATTAAGTGATCATGGTTCATGTGATCCAAAATGTGATAATTGTGAGAATGGTAAATGTATTGAACCGGGTGTTTGTACATGTTTAAGCGGTTATCAAAGAAAAAATGATAAATGTGAACCAATTTGTACAAAGTATGTTGAGTATTAAAAGCAAAAAAAATAACATTTACATTTTTGAATTTCTAATTTTTAAAATTGTTTTTTTTTATATAGGGAATGTAAAAATGGTTTTTGTGCTGCACCAGATATATGTGGTTGTAATCCAGGATGGGTACTTGATGCATCTGCAACAAATTGTGTTGCACATTGTGATCAACCATGTTTAAATGGATTTTGTTCTGGTAACAATGTTTGCTCTTGTCATACCGGTTATATACAAGATGAAGTTAATCCAAATTTGTGTAGACCACATTGTCCTGGCGGTTGTCCAAATGGTTTTTGTACAAGTCCTAATTATTGTATTTGTAAGTGGAGTTTTTCGTATATTTATAATGAAAATTTCATTGTAATAAAATTAATTTATTGTGTTTTAGGCAAAGCTGGATTTGTTAAGAGTGGCGTTAAGGGAAGAACACAATGTACTCCAGTTTAAAATTTCCCCGAAATCAAAATATACGTAATATTATGATGTACATAATGTCTAATAATTAATTATTAATTGCAATATAAATTTACTTACTTTTCTTGAAAATAAAAATTAAGGAAAATACTTTTTGTATACATAAATAAAAAATATTTTGTATAAATTTTTAGTACCGTTTCTCTGTTATTTTAATAAAAATATAAATAAAAAATTTAAAAATGAAGAAAATTTTAAGCAAATTATAAAAAATTTGATTCAAGTTTTAATTTTTTTTTCTTTAATTTTAAAAATTCCATGTTATTTGTTTGTTTAGGAGTGGGGAAGAATTAAGTATTCAGGTGAATCAATAGGAAAATGTTTGTGGTTACTATAAAATTTTTTTTTCAATTCTGTTTTGCATTTTAATGTTTTAAATAAGTTGGAATGAAAAATAACATGAAAGTTTTTAACTATTGTATAAAAAAAAGTTTTATTAGATTACCCTTTCTAATGCCAAATATTAGGAAACTTTTTAGGTATTCTGTTTCTGGACTCAGAATTTAAATGATTCCTTTGATTCCAAACATTTTTGTGTACTAATATTGCAGTTTTTTTTTTATTTAATTTTAATAGGGGCCATGATATTTTATGAATAGAAAAATCTAATTAAATTACCAACTACTATTTTAGCGATTTCAAGAAATTTTTTTATTATATTTGCAATATTTGAGTCACATATACGTTAATTCTAATTTATTAAAATTCGCTGTTCTATTTAATGCGATTTTAAATTTAAAGATGAAATTAAATAAAAATTTCTGCCCTCAAATTATACAATTTTTAAATTTTAACAATTAAACTTTTCGCATGAATGCAAATTCAAGTGAAAGCATAGTCTCAAGTTGAAGAGGGGGAAAGAACACAAAATCATATCTTAAAATTTTAAATATCCCAAATACCCACTAACTATAAGGTCAACATTATTATTATGCCATTTTAAATGAGATATGAATTTTAAGAGAAAAGGAAATTGTGTGTATGTGTGTATGTATTTCTAAATTTAGATTAAAAAGTTTTATATTGCAATATTGAATTTTATTTTTGTGTCAGCCATAGTATACTCGTACCTATACATGCCATAAAAGTGTTATATTGAAAGTTACGTGATTTCTATATTAAAATTCTTGCTCAGAATCAAACTTTTATATGGATCGCATGAAACTTTTTATTCTCTTCTTCGTTTTTTTTTTTAAATTATTAATTTTAAGGATTTTTTTTTATAAAATATTAATATTAAATTTAGTTATTCGAAGCAATTGTTAAAAGTTAGATCTTTTCTATATGCTGTCACTTAAATAAAAATTATAATAATATACGGGCGTTTATATTAAAAATAATTAAAAGGAAAAAAAATAAATTAAAAATGTTATTAAAATTTTTAACTATAGCGATTTTATTAAATTTTAAATCAGAATTTTGTTATGCAACACCATCAGAGAAAATCAGAACGGTATATCAAAAATGAAATTATAAAAAAATTCTTTTATAAAATATTTTAATATAAAATTATAGTGTCCCGATGGTTTTAAAACAGTTGTTGTAGATGGAAATACTGAATGTTTAGCCCAATGCCAGAAACCATGTGTAAATGGATTTTGTTCTGCTGTAGATGTATGCAGCTGTTATTCAAGTTTTGAATTGGATCATAATGATAAATTTAAATGTGTATTAAAACCAACAATACTTCCACCAATAACAGCAACTACTACTGTAAGTACAACAACAACAAAAGTAAGTAGTATTAAAAAAGAAAGAGATGTTGTAATATTTGGTGATGTAGCTGTTGATACCAATGGATCAAATGAATTAATAACAACAACTACAACTGGTTATCCAATAACAACAACTACTGATAATCCAATAACCTCAACAACTGATAATACGGTAACGGGTACAACAGATTTAAATTTAGATGTAACAACAATATTTTTGATAGATCAAGATGTTTCCGGAAATTATTCAAAAATAGAAAATGAAAGAATAATTGATACTACATTGGAATGTGAAAGAAATTGTTCTGAAATCAATGGTGAATGCGGTACTAATGGTACATGCATTTGTAAAATAAATTGGGAATATAATAATGACAAAAAACTATGTGTTGAAAAGGATAATGATGAAAATGCTAATGATAATTATAAAAATGATTTATCAAAATCAGAAGAAAATGATCATGATAATTTCTATATTATTGGTTATGTAATAATTGCATTAATAATTTTATTGGCAATATTGAGTGCAGTAATTATTTATTTACTATTAAGGGAGACAGGAAGTAATTATAATGTCAGCAAATATGGTTAGTTAAAATTAATGCTATAATAATAAATTCTGTTTTAAGCTGAATTTTATTAAAGAATTTAGTACAAAATAATATTTAAATTTAATTTTATAATTTTCATTGGATTCTATTAAATGCGAACAGTTCTCTTATTCCAAGTTCATTTGTACAGTTTTCTACATTGGAAAACTATAAAATTAGAGAAAACCACATTTTAAATTCCACTTCTACCTATAGTGTAAAATATGATAATTTCAAGGTCTACGTGGAATAATATTTGCTTTTTATTTTTATCTTTTCAAAAATTATATAATACACATTGTTGTGGCAGGCAGAATGTTATAACAACCACTAGAATTAATAAAATAAAAAAATTAAATTTTTAATTAACGAATTTTTGAACTGAAATGAAAATATTTTATCCTTGACCTTTTACAAGTGAGTTAATAATAATTATTTTAAGATTTGCGTGGTGTGAAATAAAATAGTTTAGTCATTAACTCTGTTTGTATAGGTTTGTATACATAGGATTGGAAAGTATTAAGGTTTTCAATATCGAATTTTAAATTTTGAAACTGGCTTTACAATGAAAATTAGGAAATTTTTGAATACTGTCGTATGATTACAAGTGATGCGTGCATTCTCTTGGATAATAGGTGTATAATGAATAAATTAAATAATAAATGCCTAACATTCTGCAGCAATGTGGTAAAATTTATTTCTCGTTAAAATTTAAAAAAAAATGAATTTTTAAATTGTAATTTTGACTTTTATTTACATTTTAATTTTTTATTTTTTTGTAGAGAAAAGATTTGGTTCAAGATACGGAAACGGAAATGATACGGAAATGCAAGAAGTTCCTTTAAAAAAAGGTTCAGATAACAACTATTATGATGCAGATAGATTTCTGGATGATCGAAAATTCGTTTGAATTAATTATTTATCAAAAAAAGAAAATTACATTTTAATAATTATTTTCATAAAAACACAAAATAAATTTGTACTTATTTGTAATAGGATTTTGTAACAAAATGGTGTACAAAATTTAATTATTCTCAATATGAGTATTGGATGCATGGTTTTTGAAATTTTAGGAATATAAATGCAAGGAGTCAAACTCATTATAAATGCATAATTCTTAATAAGTTTCGAATAGCTACCGAAATTCAAGGGAAATCTCAATCAAATTATTTCTTAAGAAGGATTTTTTCTAATATTGAAATTAGAATTGCAAAACTATTAATTTTTTGTACTTTAAATTAAATACTACAATTTAAAATTTAGATTTCTACCAAACTAAACCTATATTCAATTACTTAACCTCACTTAATTGTAGATTGCCACAAATACACGTCATATCGGTTTTGATGTAAAGCAGCGCATATAAAAAACTTATACATTTCACTTATACCGAAATTCAAATACTTTTGAAATTTATTCTCAAGAGAATTTGACAAAACAATTTAATTAATTTATTTTTATTAAATTTGAATTGTTTTGAAATAGTATTAAAAGAAATTGTCAACATTTTGTCATTATGACGTAAAAATAACCAAGATGTTCTTTAAAATCCGACAACAGCACATTTTTTCCTAATTACCCAGAGTGAAATATAGTCAAGATGTAAGACCTGAAATTTGACAGTTTTGAAACTTTGAATTCAACAACAACCACTTAAATCTGCAGTTAAGTTGTATATTATGACAGGCAGCAGATTCAAAATAAGAAAATAAAACAAGATTTATGTTCTACTTTGAAGTTATATTTTATTATGTGCACCACACTCGTGTCCCAATCCCATGGAAACATATGTTTTTTTTCAGCCGTAAAATTTTTAACATGTTTGTAGTCCAAAATGTTTTCGAATTTTTCAGTGCATTGGTTATGTTTGTAGCTTTATAGATATGTACATAAGAAATAGTAACTTAAAATTGCATAAATTTAGGATCACTCCATGCATTTTTAAAGCATTATTATTATTCTCATTCCATTTATTCCCATAAAAATATTGAAATTGAAAACGGAAACTTTATTAAAACGAAACATGGGAACAAAATATTTTTGTTTCATTTTCACGTTGGTATTTATTATTTGAAATTTGCTACTATCAACAAAGCAATTTCTAAACGAATTGCTTTGAATTTTGAAGTTTTGTAGTAAAACGAACATACAAACATATTAAAAGTTTTACGAGTTTAAATTTACAATTATTTAAGTTGGAATAATAAGGTGGTGTAATTGTAAATTTTACTTATTGTAATTAAATTTAGGAATTATTAGTGTGAATCTCAAAATGGTAATATTTTTTGCCCTAACCATTTTTATCAAAGCTGACATTTCTGGCGTAAATTGCGCTTGAGCGTAATGAAAGTTTCGTGTTCATAATCAATAATTATTTTTTATTATAATAAAACTTAACCTTTTATACTTATTTAAGGCTAATTAATATAATACATATTATGTATATTTGGAAAATATTATCAAAAATATTTAAAATAAAAAAATACAAATTATTATAATCTAAAATTATACTGTTTATCTTCTTTGTCTTCATTTCTATCCTAAAATTTCAGAAATACTTAAACTATGGGCACTTATAAAATAATTAGGTATAAAGTCATCACAATTCGAATGTACAATTTTCAATAAATAATTAAAAATTTTAATATAATATTTTTTCTCTTTTGAATTTTAAATAAATAAAATTTAATTAATTTGGATCATCATAACAAAGATTTCCATTTTTGTATCGGTAAGCACCAAATTCTTTTTCTAAAATCAAATCCCAAGAAAAAAAAACAATGGTTTCAATTAAAATATGTTTTGTGAAATTTAAAAAAAAATTACCTTTTTTATCGACATTATAATTCTTTTGCTTTTTATAAACTATTACCGATAATATAATTATTATAGTTAAAACTAAAATAATTAAGCATGCAAACCATATATTTCGTACAATATTTGCATCCCTCATAGCCTCTCTTAGAACAGCATTCGATATTGAACCTTTCATTTCAATACATTCAAATTTATTATGTGGATTTAATATCATATCGGAATTATTACATTCACATATATCTGGTGCTACGCATGTACCATTTATACAACCAAATGATATTGATTCATCATCATTATTATTATTATTATTTGAATATGTTGAAGAAACATCAGAACCACAGTTTGGAACACATAAACCAAATGTATTTTTTCGATATCCTTCTAAACAATTACATTGTTCTGGTAGTACACATATATAAAATTCAGATTCATTAAATGTATTATTACAAAATGAATCACAAATAAAATTATTTAATTTTATATCATTTGAGAAAATTTGTTCAAAACAAGTACATGTTCCATTCTCCTCAAAACGGTATCCATTTGTACAATTATTTTCACAAAATTCAGGACAATCAATTCCACTATAACCATTTTCACAATAGCAATTACCATTTAAACATATTCCATTAATACAATTTGTATGGCAAGTGTTATCATTCCAAATACGTGAACGACGGTATATTGTAAAATCAGATTCTGTACTTGAACTTACGACAATATGCTTATTGTTATATTCAAATTCTGATTGGTGAAACAATATATCACCATTTTCGATTGTTTCCACAGTGTATAATTCTTCTATTGTATTAGGTAAGGTTGATGTTTCTAAATCAATTTCCATACCAATACATATATTTGGTCCAATACATTCATCATCATTACAATCATTACATATTGGATTACATCTATTCGCCAATATTGAATCTTTTTTATAACCTTCCAAACATGTACATTCATATGGGCTAGTACAATTACTATTAACGCATTCTTCAGAACAATGTGGCAGACATTTTAATGTTATTTCATCTCTTCTATAACCGAGAGCACAACGACATTCATTTGGTGAATTACAAAATTCTGTATCATCACAGTCTGGATCACAATATGGTTCACAATATGATACTGATCCAATTTTCATTTTAAAACCAATATTACATTCACAAATTTCCGGCTCAATACAATTACCATTAAAACAGCCATTTGAACATATTGGTTCACATTGTTTTGAATCTCCGTTAAATTCATATCCTGGATTACAAATACATTGTTCTGGTCCAATACAAATACCATTATCACAACCAAAACTACAATCTGGTATACATTGATCATTTTCATTTTTTTTATAGCCTTCATTACATGAACATATATTTGGTGCTGAACAATAACCATTTTCACAATTTTTATTACAATGTGGTTGACATATCATACGTGATGATGATGATTGATTTATTATACTTTCCGTTGCATATTTTATTGTTTCATTTAAATAATAACCTTCATTACATGAACATATATCTGGAGCTGAACAATAACCATTAATACATTCACTATGACATACTGGAACGCATGTACCATTATCTGATTTTTTAAAATCTGGATAGCAATTACAAATTCCTGGTGCTACACATACACCATGATTGCAATTGTTACATTTTGGTTGACACCTTAAGAAATCGTAATAAAAAGAAAGAGTAGAATAATTAAATTAATTAATTAAAATAATTATTATTAAAGAATTAATTAAAGGATTAATAAGAGTTAATTAAGAAATTAGATTATATATTTTTCATTTTTCATTTTTCAAATTCTTTACAGAAATTAAAAAATTCTGTATTGGAAACGTTCATGTTTTTAACCTACTTAAATTGAGTCAAATATTCATATCCTTCTTCACAACTGCATACATTTGGTGCAGTACATTTTCCATTTAAACAAATCTGTTGACATTCTGGTACACATTCACCATTACGTCTTTTCGAATATCCCTTACAGCATCCTTCAACCAACTTTGGACGATATTCAGACTATATACGCAACAAAATAAATTTATATCAAAAAGTAATGAAAACGAAGGGCAATAAAGGGAAACAATAAATAGAAAATGAAAAAAATACTTAAACCGAAGAAGATTAAAATTACTAAAATATTTACTTTAGTGACCATTCGAGTTGCTGCCTGTGTACGATATTTCGTATAACCAAATGTACTACGATAAGTTATTCGTTCTACATAGGTTTCTGGTAAATTCACAGTAACAATTTCCCATTTTGTTACATTGCAATATATTTGTCCTTGACCCGTTCTAATATTTACCGTAAAATATAAAACGATTAAATACGAACTGATAATCGTTAGAGTCGACATTGTTTTTTTTCTTTCTGTTTTTATTTCTTATTCTAATCTTTTGTTTTTTATTCACAATCTTTCTTAAATACGTCCACTTTTACTAACCGTTTGCAACTAACTAAATTATAATTTTTATTAAGTAAAACTTTATTTAAGATTGGCTCATTTAAAATACAAAAAAATAACAATAAATAGAATAAAAAAAAATGAAAATCAAAAAATATTTTGTTATTCTTATTTTTTTTTTTAATTACGATAAGACCGCAAAATCATATCACAATATTTTTTTTTCAAATAAAATACTAGAATTTTGTTAAGTAACTCAAAACTTTAGCAAAGGGAAGATAAGTTTTCTTGTTTACTTGCATAATTTGCTTTCCTTTTTTCGCCTTTTTGAAAAAAAAAATGATATTTTAAATTCTCTTAAGATGAGTAATTTCTTTTTTTTTTTTGGTATATGCTTAAAATATCTTCAAGAAAGCCGGGATCTTATCATTTGTTTGCTTGATGCTCTAAATTGTGCGGTTAAAATTTTTTATTTGCTCGTCTTATGTTGTATGATTTCTTTACTACTTTATTTTAAAATTTAGGGCCTTGTAATTTAATAATTTAGGGAATTGTAATTTAATTTCAATCAGAGTGCAAGCTCTAACGGAATTGAGAGAGTTTTAATATCGTATTTTAATATAACAAGAAATTAGTTCAAAAGATTAGATTAATGTAACATGAGGGTGAGGCCTTCTTGAGAAATATAAACATCCAAATGTGATTTGACTCCAGTAAGCTTTTATAGATTTATTTAGCATTCCTCAGGAATTTTGTCTGGATTGATAAAAATTTATTAAAAGTATGAAATAGTTTGATGTTAATTTCTTTGGGATTTTCTTTGATAGACAAAATAGAATTTGTGTCTAAAACACATTTTACATGAACTCTTATAAGAATGTTCAATAAGGGCATACCCTTAAAATGAATAATCTATATATAAAGAATTTAAAGAATTACAAATTTCATCCATTTTCAAAACTATTGTTATTAAAAAATAATTACATTTAATTTTGTATTGAAAATCCGAAACACTTTTATCAAATTTTTATTCCTAATTTTATTATGCAGTTTAAAACTCAAAGTGATATTGAAATTAACTTCATAAGTAGTTGATCCCTATATTGCGGCCCACCATAATCCTCAATAAACATACGCTGATTATGCACACAGATTAAAAAACTCCAAATCGAGAGTACAGAAAAAAATGAGTAAAAAAAATAACATGATTTTTTCTTATAGTTGGAATTAGAAAAAAAACAATAGTGCCGGCGCTATATAAAAAACACAAATCTTTTGTTAAAAATAAAAAATAAATAAATAAAAAAGAAGAACTGATTAACTTCGGCTTAGAACATGTGCACTTTGTATGCCAAGAAGAAAAGAATTTTATGTATGGTGCCATTAAAAAAAAAATAAACAACAAAAAGTATAATAACATTATCCACACTTTTCTTATACAAGCAAAGGATTTTCATTGAACAGAAATTGTATTGCATATATTTTGCAAGTTCAGATATGTGGGAGTTTTAAAATTTAAATCATGCTTTAAATGCTTATTGTATTTTGACGCTACTTTATTCATTGTTTAATCATTTTTTGTGATTTCTTTTAGAGCCCATTTTATTTCATATTTTTCACGTATATTGTGTTGTTAAATGCAAACTCAATACTGTTATACAAAATTCTAACACAAAATTTTTAATTTCATACTGAAGAACTGAAACGAGAATTTATGAGTTTTACTAACAATAAAACAAGAATTCGCTATGTTTTTGGTTTACAGCACCGGAATTAGTTAATTTATTTGTACCACACCACAAAATCTACAACATAGTTCAATTATACATATAATTATAGTGCATAAAATAGATGCAGCCTGTGCTATACAAAAGTTAAAATCCAAATTTTACATTTAGACCACTATTTGCAATTTTTATTTAAAATTTTTCTGCATACTGAGTCTGTACTGAGACTGTAAATTGTTTAGCTATACTTCCCTATATTATATTAAAATGGCTGCTATAAATAATGTTTTAATATACTCCTAAATTTATTCTATACTAATTTTTAATTATTATTCGGTAGTGGTAATATTTATGTATACTTACTCAAAAAGAGTTTTCCTTTCATAACCATCAGAACATGTACAATGATTTGGTGCTGTACATTTTCCATTTAAACAAATCTCATCACATATTGGAACACATAATAAAGAATGATAAGTATGCTTTTGTTGTGCATATCCCTGACAGCAAACCATTTCACTTTTAGTCAAATAACGAACTTTATCAATCCAATGACCAGCTGTATGTAATCTTGTTTTTACAACAAACCAACTTCTAAATGTCACGGTATATGTAAAAGTTTCCCACGCTTTATAATTTTCTGGTACTGTAATAGTTTTAGTACATATTGCTTGACTTTCAACTTTAATACTTCCATAATAGGAAATAAATATTAAAATATAAATCATATTGTGTGTCAGGGATATTGCACGACGGAACATTTCTGATTAATATTCAATTATGAATTATGTATATATAAGTAAGTATTTATGTGTTTACGTACAATAAATAAGTAATTTATTATATAAAATTTATTGTGATCTTTACTAATAAACTGACTTCAAGGAACTAAATATATAATTTTATTAAACGCAAACTGTATAATGGGCCTTGGATGTTTTGATAAAATCAAAAACAAAAAACAAACGAAAAGTGAGAAACAAATTGTGCAGAAAAAATTTTGCAATTTATTTTAGATTATTTAAAAATATTTTATATTTTACAATTTAATTAAATAAAAATAAATGCAATAAGATAAAAATAATAAGGGTAATACCCTTATTTTAAATTTGAACTAAAAACATTTCAAATTTCTTCGACCATTTAATTAACTTATAGAAATTATTTTCTTATTAATAAAGAAAAAATAATTCAAATAATTTTTAAAATTTTTATCGAAAAACATGGAAACCATGGAACAGTTTAGGGGTATGAAAGAGTGGGTTATTTGTTAAACTCAACTGTAAATGTAACAGTTAGTTGTTAAATTGCAAATTTGTTTTTAGAATTCAATTTTAATTTTATCAGCTGATGAATGATATTTTCAGTTTCAATGATCCACAGCGCATATGAACTTCTAGGGTACGTACTAATTTTTTAAGACTATGTACCTGTTTCGATTTACCGATTTCAAGTATAACTTCTTAAAATTATCCCTAACTTCAAATTGGATTGGGAATTGAAAAAAAATTTAAAATTTAATTTTGAAGTTCTTTAAATATTTTAAAAATTTTAAATTTCTATGTTGCTCAATTTTTATTGCACAATAATTAATCTTATTTTGTGATTAAGTCTATAGTTTCTACTAAAAAGAAGATTCATGAAAATTCGTAAGTAATGAAAATTTTTTTAATTAAATTATAAAGCAAAATTTTTGCTTAATAATATTTTCACGTGTTTTAGTACGGGACCTTATTCGATTGTTTTAGAAAAATTAGGTGGAGATAAAATAGTGAAAAGGACAAGACGGTGTTGTAGCATTGTAATGTTATATAGACTGAAATATTACAAGTAAAATTTTACAATTTATCGAACAAATCGAACATCATACCGCCATGTTTTAATAATAAGAATAAGGAAAGCTTAAAATAAATTTCCCTATCTTTCAATTTTTTAATTAAATTTTTTCTTCTTTTATTATTTTGCCCTCATTGGCCATTTTGCAATCCCAATCAGATTTTAATGGCATATTAAAGTGGCAAAGTGGGCATTAATGTCTTAATTGCATTCTAACGCATGTTATAATTAAAATAACATTGAATTTCAAATCTTTTAGTTTTTTATTGGTTAATAAAAAAAATCAAAATGATAACAAAAAATAATTTAGCCCATTGTCAATTTACACAAAAAAAATTTTCAAAACAAAATAAAAGATGTTGTGTAACCGGATAGATAAATACAGGGTGTCTTGTATCTAAGTGCCATTGCTATAATACCATTGCGTAGACTCTCATGAGTATTTAAAACTTTAAAACAAGTTCCGAGTTAGAGCAACTTAAAGTAAATTTCGCCTGCTTTTCTTTACTGTTCGAAAATTTTAGTATAACTTCAATTCTGCTTGTCAAATATGTAGGCGCATTATTAAATATGATTTGCGGATCTCAGAATAATAGCTTTCTGAAGTATGTCTATGCGTTAGTTTTAATATCTTCACATTTCAGAATCAAATGACTTTAAAAGTTCTAAATATTTAAATTTCAACATTTTATTTTTAAAAACATTACGGATTTTAAGTGACATAAAATTGCAGCTTTCTCTAACAGTGTTGACAATACTGTTAACTTCTAAACTGTAACAATCAATGAAAGACGCAATATGAAATTCTTCGGGTCATTGAGAAGTGGGTAACATTAATTTTAGGAGATTGATTCGAAAAATAAATTTGAATTTTACACAGGAAAAAATCAATGTCGCTAATTTATCAAATTTTGTACACATTTTTTTAGTCTCAATTTGTTAATATACATAAAAACAGTTATAAGATAAATATTTTAATTTATTTTTTGATAAACAAAAACCCAATTTTATTGGTTCTGAAAGAATTTTATTGATCTGTTTCTTAAAACAGATTATTTTTCCATAATTTTTTTTTCTGTAAGAATTTCTACAATTTATTAGTGAGACAAGTTTGGCTTTAATGGTACCGGAACAACCAATCTTTATTTTTACAAAATTAAATTAAACAAATTTGCAGGATTCCGTCTTACAGTATTTTAGCTTTAAGAAGGCATAAAATTATTCATTATTAAGTATTCAAATTTTAAACAATTAAAATAAAATCACATAATAATTTTATTGCATATTTGGTCTAATTAAATTGAATTAATTTTTATTTATTTAAAATAAAATGGCACGCTATTATTAAATTTTGTTTTACATATAATCTTGAATATAGTTTTCTTAAAATAGTATTGATAAATAAAAGATTTCTTGTAAATATACTTACATTCTTACGTAATTATTTACTTATATTTTGATATTACATTCATAAACTATTTTAGTGATAACTGAGTGGCCAACATTCCATTGTTTATTTTGTTTGTATTTTTATTTTTATAGCTATACTTACTCAGATATGGGGGTTGACCTAATGATTAGATCATTTCTAAGAAATATGTTTATTTTATTTTGTATTTTTGAATTTTTCCAGTTCAGCCAGTTTTCCAGATTCAATTTATTTAGAAAACAATGTATTTTAAAGATTTTTGGTATAAGTCATACGTAATTATTTTGACGCAATTTAATAATTATTAAATTTGTTATTTTATTATACGTACACCTGACAATATTATTGTTTAACTCCATAATTAATTTCTGTGGTATAGGAAAACATTTAAAAAGCGAGAAATTACCGATTACCGTCGCCAAATTAGTTATTTCTTTGCAGCACTATTTTATATAATTTTAAGTAAAAATACTATAAAATTTAACTGATATGACAACAAAGAATATGAGATAAAAAATTAAAATATATTCTAGTTCTTTCAAATTATTGAACAGACTCAAACCCACAAGACCGTATGATCACATAACCTTTATTTAAATAAAATTGTTATTTTCCATATTTAGGTTGTTTTCGAACGTATCACACTCCGTACTAAAATCTAGTCTATCGCACTTTTTTTTTCCGAAAACTCCGAATAGTATTTAGTATGGCCGAACCTTATTGCTCTTCGCACTAGATCATCTGTCAAAAATATAGTGTTGATAAACCCACACTAGAAGATCACACCTCGCACTTAATTTAAAGTAAATAAGCAAATTGAAGAAAATAAAAAAAGTTAAAAAAAATATTTTAAGAAAAAGGTGAATATTTAAAAAAGAAATAACAAAATGGGTAATTCAATAAATCGTAATTTAAGAAGAAGGAATGTGATAACCAATATTATTCAAAATATTTTTCGCCCATTTGTCTTTTTATTTGTTTATTTAAAAGAAAAATGAGAGTATGACAATATATGCAAAAATTATGACAATTTTTATCCAATATTGCCATAATTTTCACAAATATAACCAAATAATGCTAAAATAAAAGTTTTATTCGTCGCTGTCGCAATAATTTTGACATGACAGGGCTATAAAAATATGTACTACTTTTTCTGTTTCGAATGGTATATTAACTGTCACAAATTTTTAGTACGAAAAATACTAAAATGCGATAAATAGTGCGCACTAAAATGTTTTCGGGTAGTGTAAGTGCTTAGTGAAAAGTGCAAGTGCTATATATTTGGAAAAAACTTTAATACATAAAATAATCACGAATAATTCCATATTTAAAATAAATAGAAATAATTTTTTATAGAAAATTTATAAATGGTGCTGCAAATATCTGGCAAATTTGACAACTTCAATACGCTGAAAACTTTAAGTGGCAAATTTGAAACTTCAATGCTTCAAAGCTTTGTGTATATATACATAAGAGTATAACAAAAATTTAAAAATTATATGTAGTCAACTCTGATTACGGTAAAAAATTAAACATTGGTATTATATTTTATATGCATATTGTATTATGAAAATCATAAATAATGAGTAAAAGAGAAATATATTGCACATTATATTGCTGAAAAGGATCGTCATTGAAAATATATATGATGCACGTGTTGCATTTATTAATTTTTTCTCATTTATAAAATGATTCATTGCAAAATTTTCTTAATATACTTATATATAAATTATTCTCTAAATTCAATCAAATATAAATATTTACAATGTATTAAAAATTCCGTTTATAGTTTACATGCTACAATGCACGATGCGAATTACTCGTATAAGACTTCATAAAATAAAAATTTTTTCCTTCTCTATTAGCTTTCCTCTCTTACATTAATAACAATTATTTCTTTAAATAAACTACAAGGGTTTATATACCTTATAAACAGCAGAGATTTAATTTTTTTGTAAAAATTAATACTTAATTATAAGTTTAATCCACAAACACTTTTTTCACAAAATTTTTATATCAGAAATTCTATTAGAAATTCATAAGGTGGAAAATGAAATTAAATTTTACTGGGTTATAAATTCAATTTAGTGAAATTAAGCAGGAAAATAAATCGTACTTTCTAAAATTTGCAAAAATATCACAATTTGTAGCTTTCAATATTTTCACATTTTTCATAACTTTGATTCTGTCTCTTGATAAATGTACTGAAAATTTAGATGGCATGCAAAGGAATTTATTCGAAAATACTAAATTAATTTTAATATTAAGTACACTTTTTAACCACATTTCCCAAAAATTATTTTTTATTTTTATCTATTTAGTAAAGAGTGCTGGAATGAAATAATTATTATGCGCTTTAATGTCACGGCAGTGTCAAAAACTATTTCTTCGTGTTGAGGCTGCTTTTTTAATAAAATTTAATAAAAGTTTTCCCTTATTTTGTTTAACATCATTGAGCGATCGGAGGAAGGGAGGGAGGGGGAAGCAAGAAAACAAGCAAACGCAATATTTCAAGGAGATCAAAATAAGAGATGAGAAAAAAAATCAAGAAATGACGTCAGAAAATATTATGAAAATTCAAAATTATAAGCATTTAAGAGACGTTTGCAAACAAACGATCAGTCTGAATTCGTCTCCGCTGGGAGATTACTTAAAAAGTAATTTCATTAAATTTTTTTATGGTATTAGTGACCTAGGCACTACGTACATTAGCATTATACTCCACCCTGATTATATCATCACGAGTAGTTCAACCTATATGATAATTATTAGCATTTTCTTTGTAAAAATTATGATTTAAAACTTAGTATAAATTAACTCAAATAATTTCTAATGATTTTGGTTATATAATAAAATATTTCAGCAAAACAAAATGACAAATAAATTGAAAACAGTTGCAAATTAATATTAAAAAATTTTTGATCAAATTTACAAACACTCTTACATATTTCCTTTACAAAAATAAAATTACTTATACTTTATTTGTAAACAATATTGAAGAAAAAAAAAGCAAGGTTAATACCCTACAGTGGTTTAAAATGATTATATTAAAATAAACAAAAATCTCGATCATGCATAAATCAATATTGAATATGCAATCTAGTAAGGGTATCATAATCATAAAGAATATTTTTTGAAACTTCTCTCTACATATTATTAAAATTTGTACAGGGAAAATTAATATTCTTGATATGTTTGAGTATAACAATAGCCACTATAAAAGCAATAACTAATGAATAAAAGATTAAAAAACTTAAATAAATTTAAAAAATTTTATAATTATTCTCTCTATCCTATACAAATATTGTATTTAATTTACGATACGGTTAAATTTTTTCAAGACAAACACAATAAAAAATTTAAAAAATTTAAATTATGTGCTTCAATTATTTTGTGGCTTTTTACAGTCATTTTACGTTCATAGTATACAGATGAGCTAATTTACTCGTATGTTTTTAGATTAAGAATATTTTTCATTTAAATAAACACCATTTTATTATAAATTAATTTTTATTTCAATATTATTGTATATCGTAGGGAAAACTGTGATATCACACAAGTTATTATCTATTTCGTGGTATCACTGTTTTTCCGACATTTTAATATTATTGTATAACAAATATGTAATATTTTCGTGCTATTCAGTATCTTCATCAATTTTTGGCATTACTACATTATAAACTGGATTTGGTATTAATGAATTAACATTTCTTGTATTTCTTCTTCTTCCACTTAAACCAAATATATTTGAATTACGTAATTTTGTATAACCAAATAATGCAATTAATACAAGACTGGCAATAATTATAATTAATAAAATATATTTTGCAATATGACCGCCATTTTCATTAAAACGTCTTAACTTTACAAAAGCAGTATTATCAACAATTTTTAAACATTGTGGTGTTATTGTATCATCAAATTTAAATCCAATTGGGCATGTGCAAATATTATTTGGTAGTCTACATGTTCCATTACCACAATTTCGATCACATTCTGGTATACATGTAAATATATCACCGGGTGCATGTATAAAACCTTCATGGCATATACACATATCAATGTCTTCGCAAACCCCATTTGGACAAGTAAAAAGACATTTTGGGATACATGCATTAGTACTATTATACATAAATTCATATTCATAAAGGCACTCGCATACATTTGGTTTAATACATTTAGCATTAATACATCGTTCCTCACACTAAAAGTAAAATTTGAATTTCATTTTTATTGGAGAATTTTTTTTAAAATAAAAATTCAAATAAATTTTCAAATATTACCAAAGGGTCACAAATATGTGGTTGATTATTTTGTGAAACAGCATATCCATCATTACATTGACAAGTATTTGGTGCTATACAAACTCCATTCTCACAAAGTGGTCTACATTTTGGTTCACAATAATTTATTCTATTTTTAGTATCTTCGTATCCTGGCAAACATTCACACCTGCATATTTATTTTAGTAATCAAAAATGCTTTCATATAATGTCCGGAATCAAATTATTTGTAAATTCAACTTACACGTTTGGTTCAACACAAATACCATTTACACATTTTGGATCACAGATTGGTTCACAAATTGTTTCATTCATAGAATTTTTTATGTATCCTGTATTACAAGTACAAGTTGAAACTCCATTTATAACAACACAGTTACCATTAATACATCTGAAAGGACAGTATGGCTCACAGCGCCCAGTAAATAATTTTTTTCTATAACCAGGATAACAATCACATGTATTTGGTGATGAACAAGTACCGAATTCACATCCCTTTGAACATATTGGTTCACATGTATTATTTTCCCTAATACTTAATTTATATCCAGAAAAGCATTTACATTTGTCTGGTCCAACACATAAACCATGCTTACATACTGGATTGCATTTTGGTATGCAAATGTATGGTAGGAATTCAGTGAATCCTTTAAAAAATCAAGAAATAGAACAAACTTAACAAAAATATTTTATAACTTAAAGGGATTTGTGCAAATGTTACTACAATTTAATATCTTACCGTCAACACATTTGCAATAATCCGGTCTAAGACATATTCCATTCATACAATTTTTTTTACAATGTGGTTCACATTCATTTGTATTATTATTTTTCAATGTATATCCTAAAAAAATATTTATTTTTTATTATAAGAGTTTAAATTGCAGACTTTTATTTCAAATTATAAAACCTTTAAAACATGTGCAAGTATTCGGAGCAGAACAATATCCATTTACACAAGTTTCGTTGCAAGTCGGTGTACATTTATGTGGTGCCGATTTAATATAACCTGGGTGGCATTCACTATAAATTGAAAAAAAAAATTACATTACCCCACAATATATTAAGAAATTATCATATTACAACTAACCAGACGTATGGCTTTAAACAAAAACCATTTTCACAACCTTTTTCACAAGTCGGTTCACAAACATTTTTACTACCAGTTACGAAAATGAAGCCAGGATTACAAACACATTGATTTGGGCCAGAACATGTACCACCTATACAACCATTTTTACAAAATGGTTCACATCCTAATGTGGAATCATTATTAATATTACGATAACCATTAAAACATGTACAATTCTAAAAAACAAAAAAAAATTTTATGTGTTCAATGTATACTTTAATTGATAACATCAAATCAAAAACTTTACTTCGGGTGACGTACAATATCCATTTGAACAACCACTACTACAGTATGGTTCACATTTTGAAATTTTTCCTGGTACTAAAGCATATCCCTTATTACAAGTGCATTCATTGACATCTGTACACACACCGTTAATGCAACCGCCATCACATATTGGATCACATTTATATAAATTTAGTTTTGATATTTCATATCCATCATTACATGTGCATTTATTTGGACCGGAGCAATAACCATTAATGCATTCCTTTTCACATGCATATGAACAGGTAGTTGTACTATCATCGACAAATGTGAAATTTTCATAGCATTTACAAGTATCGGGCGCAATACATGTCGCGTTAACACAATTTGTAGTACATTCAGGAATACATTCACCACGGTCACCTATATTTGTATAGCCGGGCTGACAAAGGCATACATTTGGATAAAGACATTTACCCTCTGGACCACAATCTTTACATAACGGTACACATTCACTTAAAAAAATAATTTCGAGATAAAGAAGAGTGACTACATTCAATTTGTTACTTACTTGTTCTCATCTTCTTTGTATCCGTCACAGCAAGTGACAAATTGTGATGCATAGGTCTAAATTGGTTGGTATTAAATCGAAATTTATTTAATTATATTTCAAATAAATTTTACCTCTTTAATCGTTTTCAATTTTAAAGTAGAATTAGGTTCTTTGAAATCACGAACAGTTACCAAAATAACTCTTGTTTTATTTTTCCTACATGTTTTTTTTTATATAAACAAAACCTAATTATTAAAGTGTTTTTACCACTATTTTTACTTTGACTTACGGTTGTACAATAAAACATCCCCAGGTTATTTGAAATAATCCTATTGTAAGCAAGAAAATGTAAATTTCTAATTTATGCATTTTATTGCAGGATTTTCCACCAAATTCAATTTTTTTTTTATATTAAATATCTTAATTGTTAAAAGATCAATTTAAAACTGAAATTTTAAATATAATTTTTTTGAAAATTTTGTATTCATTTTCGATATTTTCCTCTTCAAGTTCAATTCATACTGATAACAAATAAGATTTTCACTTATTTTTGTTTTCTCGAGATTACTGACCTAAACTGATATAGAAAAGAAATTGTATATTGTCTTTTTCTATATTAAAATTTGTTAAATAACTACACAAATATACATTTTTTTTTAATTAAAATGATGACTTATAATTTTATCAGCGAAAAAGATGAATTCGTAAATTTTAGCATTTTAATTTAAAAAATCAAAAATTAATTACTTTAGAGATCATTAACCTCATTTCGCGTCGTGATTATATTACGGTATATATATAAATTGTAAGGGTAGTATTGTTTGAATGGACTTTTTGAAAAGTGAGATTTTAAAAGTTAATTATCCCAAGTAACATTTTTCAAAAACTTTTATATTAAATAATTATTTTTCACTGTTATAATCGCATTCTTTATTTCGAAAATACCTTAAGTTCTATTTTTTTTCAAAGAAATGATAATGTTAACAGTTCGGCTTGAAACGTACACAGTTTGATAAGAAAAGAAATATACTGTAAAGTCAATAACCAGTTAACGAAATTTTAGATTATTTCAAACCTAAATGGTGCAATATTCTCTTTTTATTAAAATGCATCTAACTCACTTTCAAAATAAACTATTCGATCATTAATTCACTTACATAACAATACAAATTTTAAAATAACTGCAAGAGTAAAGCACAAAAAAATTTAAATTTAACAATTTTTAACAGTTGAAATTTAGATTTTCCGATTTTTCATACATACATTAGGGTCACTATAATTTGAATCAAATTGTGTATATCGAAAGCATAGAACTTATAATAACTTATTGCGGCAAAACATAGAACTACATATACTTATTGTGTATAATTAAAATATTATTAATTTGATTATTGCATAATTTTAAAATAATTGGGATTTCTCATACAAAATTAAAATTGTTGGGCAAAGATTGGAATTTATTCGACCAAAAAGTTCGAACTGTCCGATCAAATATTGAAATTTATTGATTAAAAAAATAAAATTATTTAGATTAGAGGTCAAAAAAAATCTGAAATAGTAAAATGCTTTAATCAATTATGACAGTATTGCGACATTTTAAAATTACAGTTACAATATTGACGTTTCAATACAGTTAAAATATTGAAACAGAATTCAGCAACTAGGTTTTATGAAACTAATTTATGTTTTGTTGTTGTAATTTTAAAGTTGGGAATTCGGAATGTGAAATTTTAGATTAATTAAATTTTTAATAGTTAAGAAAAATTTCAATAATCTTTTCCTTTTTATTTTCATACAATTCATTTATTTTTTACTTTTCCATTGTATTTAGTTTTTTATATTTTTAAATCTTTTGTTTTATTCAAATTTTTCTTTTCATTTCTTTTATATTTAATATATTTTTATATAAATAAAATTTAATTGCCATATACAAAGCTTTGTTTTTTTTAATTAATTTTTTTTTTGTTAATTTAGTAAATTTTTACTAATATTTTATAATTTTATATACATTTAATTTTTATCATTATATTATATAAGTAAGTATACATTATATAATATTCAATTATTTATACATTAAAAATTTACACATAGTTTTTTCATAATATTTAAATAAAATTTTCAATTTGTAAACATTCTTATAATCTCGCTTTTATTTTTTATATCTTTTCGATAAAATATTTAAATATTTTAGAGTTTAAAATAGATATAAATTTATTTTTTTTACATAATTAATTTTAAATATATATAGTGTATGTATATATTACATTATATACTTCCTTATCTACTTATGTAATAACAAAGATTTTTATTAAATTTAATTTATTATTTATTTTTGTGTTTTTATTTTTATTTAACATTTTTTTAAAATATTTTTTAACTTATTTTTAAATTTTTAATTTAATACAATTTATATCACGTTTTTTTTTTGTTCTTTCGTTTTAAATAATTATATTTTAATAAATATTTTATTAAATAAAAAAAGTTTCTTCTTTGTCTAAAGTCACCATAGTGTTATAATTTTTATTCTTTTAACATTTTAATTATTTTACAAATTCAATTACAGTAGAAAACGATTATAACGAACGGTAAAGGATCAGCGGCAGTACCTACTGACGACCATTATTACAAAATTACTAATTTATTTACTATTTTATTTCACTAAATTTGCTCATTTGTATTAAGTATTAATAATTATTATACTCTGTAATCTATGTATATTATAGCAATACCAACTTGAATTTGTAATTGCTGTAAAAAAAAATTCGGAAGATAACAGCCTGTTCCGTAATGTTTACAACATGAAATAACAGGAAAAATATGTACAAATGTTCCCATAGATTTTAGACTGAAACATTTACCACACTATGCTAAATTGAAAAAAAAGTAGGTGAAAATGACATTTGATAAAATAGATTTTGAAGGAAGAAAAAAAAATAATTTGTTACAACTGATTTTGTTGCTAATATAACAGTGATGTCGCTAAAATATTAACGATCGCTATTAATCAATTTTTCGTTACAACTGCTTTCTACTGTTTTAATATTGCTAATAATAATATTATGACTGTTTTATATTATTTTTTAAATATGGCAGTATTTGTTTCCTTGTTATTTGTTTATCAATATATAAATTGGAAAAACTTACATTTTTGACTATATGAAAATTAAATAAGGGTATTGTTAAACAAGAATAACATTTCCATAATTACTCGATCATAAAGTCCAAAATCAACCTCTAAATTTCGGTTTTACTTTGTAATCAAAACGTTAAATTAATATTGAATTCATGATCACAAGAACAATTTTAAATTCAATATGCTGAAAGGCTCTAAAAATTATTATGGAAAATGAGGCTATAAAATGTTATCTCACAATTTCATTTGATAAAAAGACATTTACATTAAAAGAAAAATCTTAATTTGGAAAAAAATGTTGCATGTGGCTGATTTCAAGTTAATGAAGTCGAGAATTGAATTAAACCTTGCCACTTATATGGCACTTTAAATTTCAAATATTTTGCTATTGTAATTTAGAATTTAGATCGCGTTTTAATAAAATAAGAAGAAAATAATTTAAAAAATAAATATTTCCATTGCACAAACACACACATTTATTACGTATGTTTGAAAATATGCGTAAAACAATTTAAAATGCAAACAATAAATAAAATTATATAATATTACATAAATATATGTATGAACATAAAATTAAATTTAGAATTATAAACATTGATGATGTAAAAATAAATATCAGATAAATAAGAATATGCAAGAACCGAGTTGAAAAATAAGAATGGACAGGATATGAAATAAAACTAAGAATTTACAAAAAATACTCCTTTGATCATGGTGGCTGCTTATCTGTATCATCTTCGGGACTAGAAATTGTTGCTTTAGTTGTATTATCGCCTTGTTGTAATACAGCATATAAATGTGCTGAAATGATTTGATCAGCAGCAGCTGTTGCAGCTGTTGTAGCTACTTGATTTATTTCATCTTCCATAACAACACTACTATCAGCTGCTGATGGTATTGTTGGTAGGAAGCGTACACCCAATCTTGGTGGTGATGAGTCATCTTCTTCTTCTTGTACAGCTTGTTGGCGTACTAAACGTGGTTTTTGTGTTCCAGAATATGAAAATGATATTTGTTGTTTGGAGGAAGAAGAACCACCTAAAAATGTTAAGAAATCAATTTCTTTTATTTTTCCAAAAAAAAAAAAAGTTTGAACTAAGTATAATTTTGTGCACAATAACCGAAATTCGTTTGCTTTTCGTATTACAAAATTGTTTCATATTTTACACTTAGTTAAAAATATAAAGGGACATTACAATTGCTCATCAACTAAATTTATTCGGGATGAACTTAATAATCTACTTTTTATAAATATTCCGTAAAATTATTAAATAGGTTTTTAAATTAGTAGACTAAGTCATATAACTACAAACGTGTTAATATGTGACCTTAATTGAAAACAACGTGGAATTGACATAAACACATAACACTGTTGGTGACAATAAATCTAGTGTGTGAGAATGAAGTAATATTATTACTTTAGTTTAATTTGTTACAATAATATACCTGTGTATAGTGTATAAGTTTCTAAACACTGTCATGCCACATTCAAATTATTCATAAGTAATTAAAATTTTATACTTTACTTGTAAAAAACGCACCAATAATGGATGGTAATGGTGTTGTACTACCAGCACTTGATCTCGATAAACGAAATGTTGAAGTACTAGCAGTTGTAGCTGAAGCTGATGAATCATTTCTTGAACTAGATAACGTTGAATCTTGCGACGTTTTCCTAGTAATTAACCATGCTGAATGTCTTCTTCTACTACTTGGATCCATGATTTTTAATGGAATTGCACAATTATGTGAATTTGGTGGACCATTTTTCCATGAGCTAGATCTTGAAGAACAAAAATTCTCGCTTGATATTGAACTCGCACGTGATGTTTTCTTTGACTTTATTTCAGCAAATTGATAAGTATATGGATCAGGCCGTGCCGGTTTTCTTCTGTGTGTTTCTGTCTTCTTTTTCTTTTTACAAGTCAATCGATTCCAAGTTCGTATAAAAATATTCTGTTTCTTTGGGAATTTTTGCCATTTAGGCATTTCATGTGGCAACATACGTAAACAACGACAACCAACATGTGGATTGGGTAATAATGGTGGTAATTCTTTTGTACCACCAGCACCACCACCGCCTCCTCCGGTACCCCCACGTCTGTGGTCACCACGTCCACCTGTTGTTTTTGAAACTCGCGTCTCTTCGAAACTCTTACATAGCGTGATACAGTCTTTTTTAAATTGTTTTGTCATAATTGCATACAAAAATGGATTGCAACATGAATTTAAAGGCAATATAAAAACAGTAAAAATTTTAGCTTGCTCTAATGAAATTAATTGTAGTCCAAAAATTGCAGTTAAACTAAAAAATGCTATTGGAGACCAACATAAAAAATCTGTAAATACTAATAAAGCCATACGTTTTGCTATTCTTGAATCATTTGTATTCCATGCTTGTGAACCTCGAATAGCCCAGTACATTTTTAGATAGCAACCCATTAATGTAAGAAATGCACAACCATTAATGAACATTAATGCCACAACATAACTTAAACTAGCCAATCCAGTTGTTGTTTCAAATGGCAAACAAACAGCAAATTTTCTATAATCTGATACACCGACTAATGGTAATATGGCCATTGTTAATGCAAACATCCATCCAAATACCATAATGTATGTTGCTTGCTTTAAAGTTAATCTTTTATTTAAATGTATTGCGTTTGTAATTGCATAATTTCGTTCTAATGTTATCACCGACAGCGTATATACTGATAGTTCTGATGATAGTACAGCTAAAAATCCAGCTATTTGACATATAACACTCATTTGCCATGGTATTGCATACATACGAAATTGACCTAATGTTGCTGCATCAACTATCGCTAATATACCTAAATATACACCCATAAAAAAATCAGCTACAGCTAAATTACACACCAAAAATCTAGGCACATCCATTTTTGATTTTGAAAATATTAAAACGAATACAACCGTTCCATTGCCTAACATTGCTAAAAGGAACACAATCCAAACACCACAACGTAAAGTCCACCAATCAAATAAATCTGCACATGGTAAAAATGGTCCTGGCAGTGGTAAACATTGTACTGATGTTGATGGTGGAAAATCTGATGTCTGGGGTTTTAATTGATAATTATTATTATTGTTATTGTCATCATCTTCAAAATATTCTTCAATATACGTTGGAAGATTTCCGGGATAAATGAAATCCTGTCCAAAACTATCCCATATTTCATGCATTTGTGTACCAAATTTAGTTGAAAAATTTCCTAAAATATGGCACACAAAAATTTTTTATTATTTACTTAATTTTTTTTAAATACAAATAAATCATTACCAAATTGCGGCCATAAATCTGTCATACTTTTATTCCAAAATCCCATATCTAATTCATCTTTTGTTGGAATATAAACTTTCTCATAATAAAGACTTTTCTTTTGACTAACTGTTGAAGCTACTAGCGGTAAAAATGGACAACAATGATAAGCGTATGATAAGACTAAAGTTTGAATTTTTGGAAATTCTTTTGGTTGTGGAAATTCTCTAAGTTTTGGATTATTGAAAGTTTTCAAATGAAGAAGTCCTTGTAGACCAGTTGATGGCAATACCGGGAACATATTATTACCCAAATTTCTAAAAAGAAAATTATATTCATTAACTATTGTAAATTAAAACTCTTACAAAATCATACAAATCTTCTAAAAGAAGCAAATGCTCAAAAGCTGACTCATGAATAAATATAATTTCATTATTTTCTAGGTCACTGTGAAGCAGAAATATAGAAACTAATTCATTTTGTATTTAACAAACAATTTCATTAAAAAAATATTCTTACAGTAATTGCAGTCTATTAACTCCATGAAATGAATCTGGTGGAATAGTTTTAATTTCATTATTTGACAATAGTAAATCTTGTAAATTTGGCATCCCTTGAAAGGGTTTTCCAGATAAACCTTGTATTCTATTATTGGAAATATCTCTAAAATGATAAAAAAGTATATATAATTATTATATTAGGCCCTATTGCAAAATATCTGTCTTATATACGTACAGTAATTTTAAATCCTTACAATTACCAAAATCCGGTATTCTTCTTAATTCGTTTCTTTTGAGAACCCTTACATAGAATATTCAAAAAAAATTTCATGAAATAAAGATAAGAGAATTTTATTTATTAAGAAATTTAATATTAACTTACAGACTTTTAAGTTTCGGTACAATTTTACATAAATTATGTGGGATATTTGTTAAACCTGCTCTATCTAATCTCAATGTTTCCAATGATATGCAACCATCCAAATGTGGGAAATCTTTCAGTGCTCGTACATCCGATAGAATTCTTGAATGGTAATTATGAGCATCTGCTCGAAATTTCTTTTGTTTTTCTCCAAAATAATTTCACAAAATTTTATAGGAAAAAAGGAAAAAAAAAAGAAAATAAATTTTTAATACCTACAGTTTTTGTAAGATCGATAGACCATGTAATGCTGATTTACTAATTGATGATATTGGATTCGCCCGCAAGTCCAATGTCTGTAAACTAGTTTTTGGTAAATCACTTCCGTTTATATGCTTTATACGATTCCCAGAACCTGATCTGAAATTAGTGAAATAAAATATAAATTAATTATAATTTCCAAAGAATTCTTAATCATTTTGTAATGAACCCAAAATCATTTTAAATTACAAATTTTTTAATTGTACATTCAAGTTATTCATATCAAGGTATGCAATTTAAGGTTATTTAAAATTCATTAAAAGATTAGGTAAAAATATTCTCACTCTTTTCTTCAGATTACTCCGTAAGAATTACAACAATTCTTATTAAATTAAGGTCAAAAGAGAAAAAATAGAGTTGACCGAGTCAACTCTGTGATCCCCGTACGATTTTGCTATCCTAGGTACGAATAAATATGTCATAGCTGACTATGGGACAGACTATAACTTTAAGTTACCATATTAATTTATGCAAAATTTCAGTACTGGGTTTTCAATATTTTCTAAGATATGGCCAAACTACTATTGAAATTGCATGCCAGCTACCAGAAAGAGCCAAGCAATTTCAACGAATTTTATCAAACACATTGGTCTTACTAATATATTCGTTTGTGTGAAATTTCAATATCACAGCTTTTATAGTTTTTGAGATATAGCCAAATATATTTTGAAGTTGTATGGCAGCTTCGAATTAGAACCCCGATCATATCTAATTTAAATAGGGTTCTAGCATTTACTATAATAAATCATTTGTGGCAACTTGGTGAACTTAAATCAATTAGTTTTTGAGTTATCGTTGGGACGGACGGACGGACAGACAAAGCTTAATAGACTCAGAATTTGACACTGATCAAAATCATACACTTGAGTCTATATCTCTAAAATGATTACCATTATTTCCATTGGTCAATGTAGACCTTTATTTCTTAGCGTTACAAACGGTAAGGCAAATTTAGTATACTCTTCGAACGTACGTTCGCACGGGTATAAAAAGAAAAACAAAAAACTATTTTGGCGCCTGAAACTTTTAATTTTAGCCAAAAATATAATTTTTGCAAAAATTTATTAAAATGACATTTTCAACTGCAACATTTATTCTCTAATGCTTTTATCCTTTATCCTTTAGATTTCATATTGAATATTGTATAACTTTTATAGAATTGTTCTACGCAAAAAATTTTTAAAAAGAAATACTTAAAATATTTTGTGTTATAAATTTGGTTGTCCTACGTCTAGACAACGTTAAGAATAAATAATCAAAAAATATTTTGAAAAAATTAGATTTGGTGTTTCGCCATTTTATATTTATGTATATACGAGTATAATGCGGGTTTACTGCTTTTAGTATCAAGCAATTTTTAGTTTTGTACATAAAATGAAATCTAGTTTTGTACGCATTGAAAATTTTTTGATATCTTAGTAGAATTTTGGTATACTAAATGTTACATTTCCATTGAGAACAGTAAAATTTTCATTACAGCTGCTCTAGCACAACACGATCTTAAAGAATTTTTAAATGAATTAGTTCTTTTATTGGTATAATTTTCGATAATACTTACAAAATATTTTAATAATAAGAATTAGCAAAGTGTTTGAAAATAATTGACATGGATTTCTCTACAGCTTAAATGAGTTTAAAAATTTTAATATTACAATTTACTATTATAAACAGACGAACCAAATCTAGCTTTGCGTTTGTATTTTTTGTATAAAAATGGTAATTGTAAAACGAAAGTTCTACTTAATTCAAAAATCGAATTCGTCTTCAGCTCCAATATTACAAACAAAATAAAACACAATGTAGGTACTTAAATGCCATTTAACCTGAATAGATTTATAACACTATTCTTGATAAACTTCGTTATACTAAACTTTGTTGCAACAAAGTATAAAAAACCACACTTGAAAAAAAAAAGGATATTAAAAATCTTTTTAGCAGAATTGTGTTCCATTTCAATACCGCTACAAAAAATTAGGTTTTTTTGTGTCCTTTTAAAAATTTTACTGCAGAAGAAAAACTTATCTTACTTTTATCTTTCGTTTTGGTGTACGAAATTTTAAAGTTTGCAAGTTTTTGTCAATAACAAAAAAAAACAAAAACTGCTGTTTCGTTGTTTTTTTTCTTGCTTTTCTTCTGATCTGAGTTTTGAAATTTCTTTTTTATGATTATTCTTTTGCTGGACGAGAAAAGTTAAAATTTTTTTTTTCTTCTCCTTTGCAATATGCCACCATAATACTTTCATTTAAACGCAAATATTATGACCGCTGGACTATAATATGCAAAACTTAATAATTTCCATTGGACATTTTTAGTCCTTGCACTCTTAGAAATATGTTAAAGGGAAGTAGTTTCTCTTTTTTATTTTGCATATTTAAATTATTGTTAGTTTGTGTATCGTAGATCAAAAATGTCATTAACAGAAAATAAAATATTAAAAGGATATTATTGTGTCAAGGCGAGTATTAGTTTAAATTTGTGTTCTAATGGTTTTTCGAAGCAACACTGCTGCACTATTAAACTATACAAGATGTTTGGTTAGTGTATATATTAGTTATGTGTAAATACCTAGTAATGTGTGTAGCTAGCTAGTTATGAATTGAAAAGATAAATATCGTAGTGAAAGTAAAAATTGCCTAAGTTTCGGCTACAAATTGAAAAATTTAAAAAAAAAATAGGAATTTGTTAAGGCAGTTAGTATTGCATATGTTTAGGAGAAAATGCTTAATTAAGAAATTAATTTGGATATGTTTTTTTTATTTTTGAAAAATTGGAGTGTTTTTAAGAAGTTGAGGAAACTGAATTATAAGAAGCTCCTTTTTGTTTGTAACCAAATATTTTGAAACTTAATGTTCAATTATTGTAGGAATTTCTTTCATACTGAAGTAGAAAAAGATAATTTAAATTTAGATCTGAAATTCGGTTACCCAAAATATGCATATATTTCTCTTAATTTTTTAAGAAGACTTTTTTTATAAGAATTTCTGTACGAGTCGAATATTATACTGAAGAACTTTCTATATAGTTAATTTGTTTGATTTTCACTCCAACTTACCATATCTCAATAAAAAAATTTATTATAATTTTAACCTTATAATATTCGTAAGTCATATTAAATTCGACACTTCAATTTTGAAAAATACATACTCGAATTATTATTGCAAATTATAATGCTTATTATAAGTATAATTCAAGTATGAGTTCAAATCACTAAAAATTATGCAACAAATCACTAGAATATTAATAATATTTCTTTATTATCAATAATATTTCTTAAAACAAAATCATACAAGACACTGTTGGTGTGATATACTGAATAACTTTACATATAAAAACAAACCAATCATATTGAGCGAAATTTTATTGTAAAAAATTCTAAAAGATGCTAAAATATGCTAATGCATTATTATTTTGCTAACACCATAATAATCTTTGTTTTAAAAAATATAGTAAAAGGGAATCTAATTTATGGTCTTATGTGATCACAGTACTGCACATTACTCACAACATATAATATACGTTTGTACATAATATACACTGGGAATATTAAAAGCAAAGCTACATTCGATTATAAGAAAAATTAAGAAAAAAATTTTTGTTTCCAGCATAATTTTGAAAAAAATTTTTAAAGTAAAAACAATATTTCTGGACATCTTATGAATGAAAACCTTCATCTCTATTATAAGTTTTTAAGTGAGTGGAATAACAGTAAGGAAAGCAATTGATCTAGAATAGACGAAAAAATCTGATTCATTCAGCATATAATCGACTGCATTGTATTTTCGGAATTATATTTGCAAATTCATAAAACCAAAAAAAAAAAATTCCATGTTTTAATAAAAGATTTTTTGTTTAGCGGAGAAAAATGTCTTCACTGCTCTGAGTATATTAATATAACTCACTTTTTGTTAAAACACATTTTTTACACTTTTATTATAAATTTGATTCTTAGCAAAACTTGGTTTTGTTGTATTCTAAAATTTTTATTTCATTTAATTTCTTTTAAAAACAAAACAAAAATATTCAATTTCAAGATGAGATAACTTCATGGGTTCATCATTATTTTGATGTGATCAGCAATATAAGGTTGACCCTTAGTTAAGGTAATTTTGCTGTGATCTATGATTTATTTCAAAAACTGATAAAATCGGCAAGTTCGTCAAAAAAAAACTAAATGTTCTAATTCGGAAAAATATTATTTTTAATGCTCTAATGCGGAAAAGTATACATTTATGATGAAAATTCGATGCATGAAATTTGGTATAAAAACAGCACTTCTCTTATATTGTGATATTGGAATGGCATAAAGTCCACTCAGTCAAAATTGCAAAATATGTAGGAATTTTTAAATGAATGCATGAATATTTTGGTATATACATCCAAAGAATATACAAATCGAAATAAACTAGTGAAAAAAGATTTTAATAAAGTGAATAAAATTTTAGAATCAAACAAATACTATATAGTTTCTTTAAAAGAACAAGAAAAATAACGAAATAACAAGAAAAATTATTGGTAGAAAACTAAGATTGGTTGGCTTTTTGTATACAACTATACGAGTAATTAATGAGTTTTCCATGAAGAAAATTAAAAGCTGATAAACAATTTTTTACAATTTTTTGTAAACTACTACCTTAAACTATTATTCTACTAAAGCTCTCTGATACTTTAGCACTCTTCAATACTTTGCAAACTCATATATTTGGTGTTCTTTCTAATATACAAGTATTTATTACAAATCATGGTGTTGTTTCTAATATACAAGTATAAATTTTCTAAGACATTATCTATTCTAAGTAATCATCTCTTAAAAATGATTCTTTATTTAATATGAATATGGGTGATGCCACCGCTTGTATGAACATTGGGTTCAGTTATAATTATCTACAGTGTACTATTAGCCGATGATAAAACTTAAAATAAAAAACATAATCTTAATGTTTAAAGAAATTTTTTTTAACTGCAATGACTTAAGGGAATAGAGCGAAAAAATTTTCATAGCTGAAATTTCCTTCTTGGTAACTTCCATATATATCTACTCGTATATGTAGGTGGTTTACTTCCATGCATCTATATGAAATATTTATTATTAAAATTTTTTAAATTTACTAAAGTTAAATTATAAAAAATAAGAATTTATTTAAATCTTCTGTAACACAACTATTTGTCAATGTCCTTCATCAAAAATAATTTATTACAGTTCACTATCAAATGTTTCAATTGACTTTAAACATCTTGAATTTCAATCAATCAATATAAATTTCAGAATTTTTTTTATTTTATTGTATTTTGAGAATCGTTTAAAAACTTATTTGCAAATTTTTTTCCAAAGAAGAATACAAGATATTTAAAAAAACAAAGAATACAACAAAAACTTTACTTATATACCCAAAAATAAAAAATACGACAAAACCCCAAAACACTTTGAATTAAAAAAATAAAAAATGTAAAAAAATTGTTTTTAAAAACCATTTTCAACAGCTTTTTAATATCCTTGTAAAATTTGATATTTATCATTGTTGGAAAAAAAAAGGTTATAGCGAGCTATGAATGGAAAACTAAAAATAAAATTTTAAAATATTCCAAAACAAAATTTAGTTTCCTGATTTAATATCCTTCTTCAATTGTAATATGGGAAGTTACACAGAAAAAAATATAAAAAATTTGAATAAAAAAGACAGCCATAAAAAATTCATTTTCGATTTTTAGTCCTGGAATAAGGATTCCTGCATAGCTATATACATAATGTATATCTTTTAAGAAAATATTAAATTTAATATTTTATATTGTCAATTGATTTTGGGTTTATTCATGGTATAAACAGAAAGGTTTTAAAAAATTTAATCGTATTCATTTAAGGATATATTCCTTATTTGAAAACTGTTTCTCTGTAATCCTTAAATGAAATTAGAGAACATGAATCTTATATTTTGGAACAAGAAAAAAACAAGATTTTCGGATTTTCTTAATTTCGATTCTGATTTAGGACATTTAATTCTTTTATTTTTATGGTTTCCAGTAAGAAATTTTTTGTGTATTACAACTTGATCCCGAAAATTCAACTAATCGTTATTTTGATAGGGTTTTAATAGATGTTTTAAAGTTTCTAAAAATGATAAATAAATTTTTAGCCAATTTTTTCAAGAAACATCATGAAATGAGAACAATCGAGAACAGTATGACGACCGCTTCAGATTCTAGTTTTTGAATATGTTGACAGCAACATACAATAAAATTCTTGTTAAGTTGTCAAAAAACAAATTGTAAAATTAAGATTAAATTGCAAATACGCCACTATTTGCCAAATTCTATTAGTTAAATGCGATGGGAACAACTTTGTGATTACATTAATTTTTTTTTAAAATTTTGGCAACAAAATTTATCAAAACAATTCTATAAATTTTTTATATTCTGAACTGTTTGGGTTTTTTTTTCCATTTTTGAGTGCTCCTTCTCTCTCTTGCTAATGTTTTGCAAAAATATTCACAAATGTTACATAATTTTCCTTTTAATTTAAGAGTGCCTGCGATTAGATTAAATTGTAAAATGTGGTAAGCTAAAAGATCTATTGCGCTTCCTCACAACGAGTGCTCAGTGTCTCGCCTAGCGCACCACCCCCTAGAGACCAATATTTTTGATGAATCCGAGCGACTTTTCCGGAGAAATATTCTACAACGACTTGCCCATTAGCGGAGACCAACTCAAGCTGTCCGTTCTCTTATGGATCAAAGCTCCAGACTCATTGCAAAGATGCATCGGAATCTCCTCTCATTCCCCACAGTACCTGCAGTGACAGTGCACTGAAACTCGTGAGAATTTTCGTATGTTTCCACGGCATTCTTATAATTGCTATAAAGCATTTCCACCCCGAATGCGTGCTTCATAGCTTAAATATTTTCTCCTCTACTTAGCACCTCATGGATTTTGTCTGGGCCAATTCCGTTGAATGTATAAAAACATTTCGAATCTAAATAGTTTCACTCTTTAATTTACAAAATCTCGTTACACATATTTACTTTTTGCTCTGTGAGAATTGCAATCATGAAAATGATCATAACCCAAAACTGTGAAATGTACAAAGAGTTTCTGAAAAACTTATAAAATAATATGTCTTACATTTAGAATTTATACATGAATTCAGAAAAAATAAAGCAAAATCAATTTAAAATAGTAATTATTTCTGGTTCATTCATGATATAAACAGAAAGGTATTAAAAAATCTAAAAGGTTCCAGTTCCAAATTCAATGAAAAATTTTTTATTACTACAATTTCTAGATATAAATATGCAAAATAAATTCTTTGAAATTGACTCTGAAGCAGTTGATCAAATTGTAAGAAATTTTGCATAAGATTTATAAAAATCTTTGAACGCTTTCTAGACCGAAAAGGAAACGGGATAAATTCACAAAAAATTTTTTGTAAAGAAGCACATTTCCCTTAAACAAGTAATACTACTTAAAAAAACAACATTTTTTTTTAATTTTTCGGTTGTTTTCTAATTGGAATGTTTGCCAATAGAACATACGAGTTACTATTTTGCTTTACTTCCAGAATTTGAACATATTTTTGGTTTCGAAAATTGCCAAAAATTGTATTCTTAGCAGCTTCAAGGCGATAAATCATATACGCTTCTTTTGGTGATTGCTAACAAAGGTACTAAATGACAGAATAATTGACAAAGTAAAATCATACTAAGCACGTATTTTTTTTTGAAAATGTACTAAGAACCAGAAATAATAAAAATTGTCTTTGAAAAGCTTTAAGAAAAAAAATTTAATCTATCAAACAGGTAACATTTTTTTTATTTTGAAAGATTTCCAGGGGGTTTTTTATTTATGCCAAGAAGAGAAATTGAAATTTTCTTTTAATTGCAAAAAAAGAAACTTTTCTAATTTAAATTTAGATTTTGCAGTAAAATTTTTCTTTTTCTCTCTATTTTTTTTTATTAACTCTAAGATGATGATAGAAATGTGTGGTTGCATAAACTTCAAATTAAAATTTTCTTCAATTTTTTTACGAAATTTTTCATTTGGAACCACATAGTAATTTATGCAAGTAAAAGTTGTCATTACACAATCTTATATGTATAATATTAGATATACTTTTGTAGTACATATAAAAACATCCATGAACTTAATTTGTCAAATGTATATCTAAGATTTTTTTTTTGTGAAAATTACGAAATACAAATGTTGAGAATTTTTCAAATGTGATATTTTGTATCCTTCAACTTTAACATAATATATTATATTGTCAAAGTTTTACTTGTTCCTGAAACAAATTTATATGGAAATTTGGAAAAAAAACTTTGAATACTTACAGTTCTTGTAAATGCGTAAGTTTATTTAATCCTAATGGCAATGCATTTAACAAATTATCATTTAGTTCTCTACAATTAAATTAAATAGAAGAAAAGAAATATTAAAATATTAAAAATATTTTGTAAATAACAATTTATTTATATGTATATATGTGCATATATATATTAGGGTTTTTTTAATATAAGTAAAAAAATATGTACTCTCTAAACTAAAATCGACCAGAAACGGGTAGTCATAACTAGATTGAGGTACGAGTACTAGTAGATTCTAATAAAATTTATTTACAAGAGCGTCTAGTCATATCCCAGTTAGCTTTACTAGATAGTTTAGGTATTATTACTAGGAGAATTTTTTACTAGAATAACCATTGCCGTAGATGTTTATTCTAGTCAAAACAACTTTAAAAAACTAGTTCATTGTACTAGAAAAAACTAGCCTTGGGTACTAGAAATTTATCGATTACAACTAGTTGAAATATTGTGGCATAACTAGAATCTAGCGCGATATTCAACTTGAATTTACACTTCTTGCAACTGAGATCCGCGATAATGTGGTCATTACAGCTGGAAAGTAGTTTCTGAAAAAAAAACTAATTTTTAGAAAAAATACAAATATTCGTAACAATGTATATATAATATTGTACTATTTACTGAATCATCCTGTATACATATTGATATATTGTATTAGATATAACTATTTCTTGGGAAATAGCTGTTCTTGAAATCTAATGTAATTTCCATAAAAATTTTGGAATATTTGTATAATGTCGACTTATAGTCTTGTTACAACGTTGTCAAATGAGTTATTTTTCCAATGCTTAAAAATGAAACTAAATTATGTAACGCAAATAAATTGATGTAAAAACTAAATGCAAACTAAATTCAAGTGTCATTATACTACTTACTAACCGTAGTAACTAGTATAATAACACTTTCAGTCTTTTAATCTACGTAAACAATTCAAATGAACAAATTAGCAATAAGCTTTTATTATGACATTGTGAATTATTTTACAAATATTTTCATTTTAAATTAGAGTATTTTTATATTTAAGATGTGAAAATATAAGAACTATTCTTATTATTTAATTTCTGAATGTTCTGGAATTTAAAAACAATTATTCGTAATCGATCTGGAAAATGCAATTTTAATAAGTACAATTTATTTCAGTTATTGAAGATTGGTCAATTTGGTTTAAAAATGAAACAAATATAAGGGCATTAATAAGAATTTCCTCTATTTAAAGTCTCGATTTTCCAAGGCCTTATTTGAATATATGTAATTATAAAATTTAATAACTCTGTTTTTGAAGATAAGAAGTACACCCGAAATTTTAATATATTTAAATGATATTGAAAAAAAATTGGCAGTTCATTTAAAAACAATAAAAAACGTAACTACAAACAATTCAACTTTTATTTAGACAATGTAGGGCATAATTTGGAACTTTACCAGAAAAGTGATAATAATATTTAAAATATTTGTTATATTATACTTAATTCAATGCTTACAAAATTTTTAATGCTGGAAAATTTGAAAATACCTCAGGTGCAATTGTATGAATTTGATTACGTCTAAGTAATCTGAAACATTTGATAAAAGAAAAACAATTTTTTGTTTTTGTTAAAATTTTTTTTTAAAATTAAATTTTTACGAATTATTTACTTACAATACAACCAACTTATTCATTTGTGGAAAATCATTTTCCGAAATTATTGTCAATAAATTACTGCCAAGATTTCTACAAAAAACAAAAATTATATTAATTTTAAAACATAAAAAATAATTATTAAAAAATTCTTTCATACTGATTAAGTAAAAAAATTTTGCTTTTAAAAGATTAACTTTTTACAAAAATTTAGAAATAGAGCCAAAATTCAAAGCAAAGCCAATTAAATAAAAATGTCAATCGAATTTAATTAAAAAAATACTTTTAACAATTTTTTTTTTTTTAAATTAAATCGCTGCTGTCAATATTTTCATTTTAAGGAAATAAAATTTTTGTATGACTAAAAATTATTGACATTTTAAAAATAAAAAAGGAAAATAAAATAGAAAACAAAACGGACAACACAAACATACATACATACAATATTACAATGCATATATATACAAACATTTTATACTTTTAATAGAAATTAAATAGAAAAAGGTGATTTTAAAATAATTTTTTTTTTTTTTAATTTTTACTAGAAGTGCTCACAGTGCTTCAAGTGTTTTAATTCCATTTAAAGCTGCAGTTGGTATCCTGTTGAAAAGATTTCCCTCAAGACGAAGTGTCCTTAAATTTTGAAGATATTTAAGACTATCACTATCCATACTAGCTAAAGCGTTGCCAGTAAGCAGCCTTTGATTTTTTAGTAATTCACAAGTTTTTAAAGAGTTTTTTTTTGTTTGTTTTTTAAAGTTTTTGTTAATAATTGAGAAATTGTGCATTTTTATAAAAGAAATAAATAATTTTTAAATTTGTGATTTTTATTTTCAGTGTATTTAACAAACATAAATTTCAAAAAAATTTAAATAGAAAATTTGAAAATGACAAAAAAATATGAGAAAAAAAATGTTTAATAAATTTTTTTTTAAAGAAAATTATGAATGAAAGAAAAAGAAGAAAAAATACAAAAGAATATTTTTACTAGGTAAAAATAAAAAACTATTTATAGAAAATATTTGAACAAATTTTGAATTAATTTTCGCTACGACTTGATAGATGTCGCGATTTGTAAAGGTTTATACTTGCTTTGTAAACAATATGTAAAAAATTCGGCGACGCTTTGAAGAATGTTCTGTAGCAGCGGGGTTCGACAAAAAAAAACAAACGTCTTTTATTTCGAAAAACACATTTTAGTTGCTCAAAATAATACATTTAGGAACAATCTAACTACATCATTCGATGTAGCTCAAAAAATTAAACAAAACTGCCTTTACACAATATAATTTCTTTTTAGTTGTGGATTGAATAACGCCTTTTTGTAGTAAAAACACATTTTTTCAAATTTTTTTAAGACTCCACAGAGATAGATAAATTTGTGCCAGTAATAGGGCCCAAAACAATCAATATTTCCAATAAGAATGTGATAGGTGCGGTAAATAAGTACTCCACACATTTTTCTTTTTATTTGAATATATTTGGTTATGAATCGCGTAAGAATGCAGAAATCGCTGGTTATTTTGTATTTGAAAACCAATTCCAAATTTTTTAGTACTTCGTAGAAATAATTCAACTTGTCAAAATTTTCTGATATTTCGTATATATGTATAATTCTGAATATATTCTGATGAAACAGAACCAGTTTAGTTTTATACTGACAACTGATTATTGTTTAGAAATAATCAGTTTTAGCAAAGCCACAGCAAAAATTAATTCAAATTCGAAAATTTGTAAAAATCATTTTTATATTGTTCATTTTTTAATTATTACTTATAAGAGTGCATTAATGAAAATTAACATTCCATATAGAAAATATTTTAATTTTTCCAATACAAAAAAATTTTGCAATTTACTAAACCCAAAAAATTTTTTAACAAATGTGATTAAAATTTTGAAATTAAAGCCTTAATTCACTTAAATTTTAAATAAAAAATTTTCAGAAATTTTTAATAAATTTTAAAAAGTTACAAGACTTCTAAATCCTGATCTTTTTTCAGTTTTTTTTCTTTTATTTTTGTAATACTCACAACGATGCTAAATTTGGAATTCCTTTAAATGAATCTCCTGGTAAGACAGTAAGGCCACAATTTTGTAAAGATAAACGTTTTAATCTATGTAAACCTAAAAATGCATCATCATCTATTACTTTAAGGATATTGTCCGCTAAGGATCTGAAAAATGTTTTTAAAAAAAAATGTAAAATCATTAAAGTTTTGTATAAGCAATATTGAGTGAAAAGTTATACAAATAAAAATAAACAATCTTAAAATAAAATAAAAACCAAAAACAAATTTTATTTTTTTGTAGTGTATTTCACAAAAAAAAAAATCTTAGTAGTAACTAAGAAATTTGTTGTTGCTATATTTGAATACGCCAGCCTCTATAGATTGAATACATTGCTAAATTATATTTCGTTTTGTAGCTGGCAGCTATTTCAAGGAAATTTGAACGAGAATCTTATTAAACTTATCTTATCAAACTATTTTTTCAAAGCCTTATTATGGTATGGACTACCTCGACAAAAAATGAAATTTTTGTTTTGAAATTCAATTCTTCTATTTCTTTTATCCCTATTTAATCTGTTAAAATTCATATTATTCGTTTTATCCATATCAATATTATTAATATATGGGAATACGATTAGAGGAAAAATTTAAGCAAAAGAACAAGGAGGGGTTTACAAAACAAATTTAAAAATACAACTGATTTTTCTACAGATGAGCCAGTACGGATAAGATCTCCTGATGGAGCTGTTTTCCTTCAGGTTTAGGAGTTGTTTACATTCCAATAATTTTATTAACGAGTAATTATAAAAAAAATTATTGAATACATAAAATTAACATTATAAAGAATTTTTTATAAATGTATACGTAAAATTGAAAAGAATGTATGTATGTAAAAGTATATTTTAAATACCGGAAAAAACATTTTGATTTCAACATACAAGTGACACAAATTTTTCTATATATTTTCAAAAATTAAAAGAATCAAATGAAAAACCAATTCCATTGTTTATAAATTCCAAAAGTTTTACTCCTTTTTAATGCGCTAGATTCACGGATTAATTATTTTCTCCGATTTTTTTCTTGTTTTTATTTTATTACGAAGAAACTTCAAAATATTTCCGTCTTGAGTAGAAAATAGGGCAATGTTTATTTGTTCAAGAAACGATGTACGAAATAATGACAAACAACAACACAACAAAATATAATTCAGTCAGAAAAGTTTTCTCCAAGAAATTCAAGCAATTAAAACAGAATTTTCTTAATTTGTTTTTATTTTTACACATTTGTACACAAAAAAATACATGTAAGTGTGTATGTACTTAAGTATTATGCAATTTGTGAAAGAAGAAAGGAAAAATTCTAACAAGTTTAAAAGACAAATTTCAAAATACGACAATAAGAATCTCATAAAAGAATGACATTTTTTACTTAAGATACGAAAATATGAACATCAAGAATGTTAACATTTTACTAGTTTGTTATTTTTTATCTCTATATATGTTATTTTACTTATTATGCGGAATTTATTTTTCCGGGACAATATCCTTCAGAAAGCATCATATTCAACAAAACAAAAAATAAAAAAAAATTACATTTTACTTGTGGAAAAGGAAAATATCTTTTTGGCGACATAAAAGTGAAGATTTTTTTCTTTACACTTGTATATGTGTTGTGCATTTCCTCTTGTCGCGGTTCCATAATTGTCACTCTAATTTTCTTGCTTTCAACTACTTTTTCAGTTTTCATCAATGCTATCCTTTAAAACTTTACGTAACAGCAGCGAGAATTTTTTTATTAACGAATCATGTTGTGAGCGCAACGCAAAACGAAGATAAATTAAGAATATTGCAACTCTTAACTTTTAACCATAATGTTATTGCTTACTATAAGAAATAGAATATCTGTATTTCCCTTTTTTTACCACATTTTGTTTGCAAATGGGTTACTTTTATGCTCGTTGATTAACCATTTCAATTTATTTAGGTTAATGTGTTGTTGTTCAATTATGACATGATTGCAGCTTCAGTTTTAAAAATTAAGTATTGTTTTCCATATAAGTTTTTCGTATAAAGGAAAATGAGTTGAAAATATTTTTGATGTAAATGTTAATTTTATTCATTTCCTTCTTCTATATGATTGCAGCTATTATATTTTTGTGTATGAATTTAAAAATTTTTTATTAAAGTTTTAAATTATGAATGGCATCCAATTAATATATCACTATTGCACTAATATTAATAAAATAATAGAACTATTACAAGTGATATTTTGTTTTTCAAGAAGACAAAACTTCAATGGATTTAAATAAAGTTGGTTGGAACTAATGGTTTGTAATGTAGCACTTTACCTCCAACAAATGAAGGTATTGCTTTTAGAAACAACCTGAGTGCTTCATTATAAAAATCTATTTAATAAAAGATATAAAAGTATGCAATCTTTGAAATAATAAACAGAAATTTTTGAAAGATTGCATACTTTTTGGATAAGCATCTTTGAATAAAACGAAAAAAAAATTGAAAGAGACTTAAAAGATTGAAAGAGATAATTCTGGACTTTAAGGGTTAATTGTGTTAGTTAAGAAAAATAATTGTATTTTTTGGAAATTTTAAAGAGCCTGCAACTTCTCGAATATAAAGTGCCAAAAATTCATATTTTGCAAATTTATAGGGGCGATATTTTGAGAGGCAGTGTAGGTGAAAAAAAATTTCTTCTATAGAAAAAAACTATTGACTAGGATCCAAAAACTGTTAAAAATTTAGACTTCTACAACCTGAGGTCTAGAAGAAAAACGAATTTTAGATAACGGTAAATTTTAACGGATATTTTGTTTTTGTAAACATTGACTAAACTGTACCGCGGTAGAAGAAACTAGCCACTATTTTTTTTCTTTTGTAAAATTTCAAGAGTGCTTATGGTTTCGTTACAATAGTCATGGGTTTTTAAAGCGGGCTAAAACTTTTAGAGGTGGAGACCGGAAGTAAAAATTATGTTTAACGGAAAATTATGTTTAATTGAAATATGATCACTAATACTGATGAACAAAAATATTTTTTTATTATTTAAACAGAATCTTTCTGAAAATTTAAAATTTGATTTACTGAACTAAATCAAAAATGTTGAAGGCTCACAAATTAATTCAGTTTTTAATTAAGGATTTCAGTTGATACGAGTATTAAGTTTATATGGTATAACAACTAAAAATATACTTACAATTCTTCTAGATTTGGCACCGATTTAAATGCTTCAGCTGGCAGTTTTGAGATATTATTACTTCCAAAATCCCTAAAAAAAAAAGAAAAAATTTTAACTTTTTCATTTATTTAGTTTCATGTAAGTTCGTACTTAAATATTAAAATTAATGTGCATGTATGTATAGAAATAATAAATTTAAATATAGCAAAAACAATAAAGGTTTAATTTGAAATTGTAATTATGAAAAATGATATAAAATGTAATTATGTTTTGAAATGTAATTAAGAGAAAGTCTTCAAAACGCTTATCCTGTAAAATGCTTTTTTCGACTTACGATATCGTAGAAACGGAGGGTATGAATGTCTAATTTTATATTATAGGGCGGACAAAAAGACGTTAAAAGGTAATTTTACTTCTATGCTCAAAGCAATAAAAATAGTTAAGAAAAGGAAAATTTTTTTTAAAAATAAAAATCATTTAAGGTACAGACGGAACCCAAGAATATTGCTATCATCATCATTGCTACAAACATTATGTCGTAATGTTTAAAATTTATTTTTCATTTACATTTTCTAAACCCTTAAAATTTATGAATAAAAAATCACTTTGCTTTTTAATAGAGGTTAGTGGTTATCATTTTTATTTTCTTTTACGGCATTGTATGTGAAAGTGAAACAGAATTTTATTTTTTATTATGAGTGTAATTCATTCCTTGCCTTTTATTCTTCGTATTAAAAATCTTACATACGGTTGTTATTTCAAAATAGTGAATAAAAATATTAATATTTCGTTTAAAATAGCTTGAAAAATTATTTTGAGTAGAAAAAAGTGAAGAATACTAAATTAGGGTTTGAATTAAAATGAGAGTAAGCTCAGATGAATTTTTCTAATATTAAACAAATAAGTTCCAATTTTTATTTGGTCATTGATGCAGTGATTATGGCACCTGTGTTTTAACCGAAAAGTCTCAGGTCCAAACCCCGGTCAGGTCACTATTAGAGTTAAATTCAATATTATAATTTTTTGTTTATTAAGTTATACATATAGTATACAAGTAATTTACATATATTACTAATATTCGAAATTAATAACTAAGAAAAGCAATAAATATTAATAACCTTAAATTTTAATACGAAAAGAAAAAGCTACGGCAAGCTAGTCAGCTACCTAGTTAAAACTCCATGATTCAATGGAACTCAATGACAATTCATGATATCATGCACTAGGCCTACGCTCTTTCTAAGGGTGAGGAAGAGGAAGAAAACGTTCCAATTCTTATGTATAAAATTATACAGCCCATACATTATTTAAAATTTCATTAATTTAATAAATAATGTTGTGCAGTACTCATTGTAAATTCGTTATATTGTATTTTTAAGATAGATAGCTGCAGAATAATTTCGCAATAAAATCCATCTGGACGATTTGGTGTAATTTAAATTTATCGAAATTATTTATTGTATTAACAAACCTTTACGTTCAAATAAACCTGATAATGTATTTTACCACCTTTTAGTATCTATGCAAATCGAAACGGTATTATAATTTATGACCCGAACCAAATTTTAAAATACATTCTCTTTTATATTGATTAAAAGTAATAATTTCCAATTTTATGCGTCATAAGTCGTTATATTAATAATGATTGTTTGTGCATATTATGCTTTAGTCTATGGTAGCTCTAGTAGTAATATTATGCTTTAGGTATGGTAGCTACTCGTATGTCAACAGTATAACACTTTCTAATAAACAAAGTTCGTCATCGTTAATTACGAGAATAAATTGTTATCAAAATTTTATTAATTTTAATTTATTTCGACTTATCAGTTCGTTTGGTTGGTTAAAGAGGTTAATAACTTTTATTGAAATATGAACTAAATCACGTTTCTGAGTTGTTGTTTTTTTTTGTTGACGTCGAATTGATATGAAAATGAACAAAATAGCTATGCCGTTATCTGTAGTAAAATATAATGTTCTAATTTCAAAATTTATATTAATTCTAAGCATACATAGATATACATATAAAGAAAAAGATAAGTATTTAATATTGTGAATGAATGAACTTATTTCAAATCCCAAGTGGCAAAACATTACATTGAACCAAAATGAACCTAATTTAAAATAAACCATAAAAATATAAATACCATCAAACAAAATACTAAATATTTTTAACAAACTAATCTTTCTATTTAAAAATATAGAAAACACTAAAATAGAAGGTTTAGTCTTCTAGCTAGGCCTATATTAAAACAATTCTTGGTTTTCGAAGATAAAAATTTAGTGTAAACCGCAAAGAATTAGTTGGAAATTACTGTATATAAATACCATGTACAATTAATTGTAAACAGCATAGATGTATTGTAACTTGTGTAACATGACAACTGAAAAAGAATTAAATGACTGCTATGAAGCAGCTTTAAAATTAATTGAAGACGCTGGACAAATTATTGCTTCACGTAATAGTGAACGAAAAACATTTGTATCAAAAACTGGTGATAGTGATTTATTGACGGTTACAGATGAAGAAGTTGAAAATCTTTTTAAAACAAAATTAAGTGAAAAATTTCCAAATCATAAATTTATTGGTGAAGAAGAGTTTGGTGTTGGTATCAAATCACCATTAACTGATGCACCAACATGGATAATTGATCCAGTAGATGGTACAATGAATTTTGTACATGGTTTTCCACATTCATGTATATCAATTGCGTTAATGGTTAATAAAATTACTGAAATCGGTATAATTTATAATCCAGTATTGAATCAAAAATTTATAACAAGACGTGGTCACGGATCATTTTATAATGGTCAAAGAATTTATGTTAGTGGTGAAAAAGATATAAAGAAAGCATTAATTACAAGCGGTTTCGGTACATCAAAAGATGAACAAAAATTGAATATTGTCAATGAGAATTTTTTAAAATTATCAAAAATTGTACATGGTATACGTTGTTTAGGTGCTGGTGCATTAAATATGGCTATGGTTGCAATGGGTGTTGCTGATGCTAATTATGAAATGGGAACACATATTTGGGATATTGCTGCTGCCGATCTATTAATACGTGAAGCTGGCGGTATTGTTATAGATACAAATGGTGGTGATTTAGATCTTATGTCAAGAAGAGTTTTAGCAGCAGCAACACCAGAATTAGCAAATGAAATTGCAAAACATTTGACACAATATTCACCATTACCAAGAGATGATTAATTTTTAACTTTCTTATAAAATTAAGTAATAAAGCTTTCAAGACGCATTTTTGTCGAACATAACTTTTTGGTGTTACAATACGAGTATCAAAATACAATAAAAATAATGTTCAAAAGTATTTCTTATACGCATTTTCTAATCAAATTTGTTGGAATAAAAATTCTAGTAAGTATTAAATTGCAACCGCAAATTGTATTAAAAATTCTTACTTAACCTTTTATAAAATCTTTTATTACATACATATGTAATACAAATTTGACGATTTCCAAAAGTATTTTTTGAGTATACGCTTAAATAAACGTTAATCGGTAGACATTGTGGCATCAATAAATAATAAAATATTTTGTTAATAGAAAATTATATTTTTGAACATATTATTTGAGTATCTACAATAAAAATTTAGCATTGAATTAAGTATCGTGAAATATAAAGAAGTTATGTGAGTGTCATAAAAAGATTACTCTGCATACGGTTCTTTCGAATTTCTTGAAACGGTATTATAGAAATTCTAGAGTAAAAGGCAATTTTTTAAAAATTTACTCAGTATCTAAATATTAGAAACATGTCATGAAATTTTGTTCAAAATCATTTTATTTTTGAGTTGAACGATAAACTTCAAAGACCGTGTATATTCCATGGATAAGCTCAAAATTCTTTTATATAGAAAAGCCTTCTTCAGGACAAAATATTTATTTTGAGAAAAAAAATAAGATGCCGACAATAATAAAACTTCTATGTAATTTGTTCTCTGTTAAAATTATGAAATAATTAAAATATTATGAACAGTTAAGGCAATTAATTGAATTACTTGAACTTGAACCTGAATAGTTTCGTCTAATATTAAAATTGAATTCATAATAACTTTATAAATTTATTCTAACACAATTTTGAATAATTAATTAAAAACCACAAACGCGAATTATATTATTTACAGTAATAATTAAAAATATATAAGTACTTGCAAATGTACTTAAATGCAGTTAATTATAAAGTTAACTTTGTCAAACTAAATAATTAACAGGTAGTAAAATAAAAAACAGTAAAAAATGGAGAAGTATAATGGTAGATGCATATTAATTTTCATTTTTAATAAAAGTTATTATAAAAAATTATCACGTCAATTTTAGTCATACAAAATGTCAATGAAATATTTTTTTTAAAATTAAAATAAAGAAAATAAAACATAATTAAACCTTGGGTGCCGACTAAAATAACAAGGGTAGCTATTATGTATGCAAAATATCAATTTGAGAGTAATTAAATTATAAATATTTTTATTAAAACAATATGAATTTGATTGACCAAAACTGAATGAATAATGTTGTTTACCGCATGTGTTTACTAATCACTTATAAGTCAATTATGATGAATAGCCAGTGGTGTCTTATTAAAATATTTTCATAAAAAAGTCAAGTGGAAAAGTCTTCGCCGCATTAAACAACAATATTTTTGATGTTGTCAAATTAGTACGGTAGAACAGGGCTGAATTCCAAAAGAAATTTTAAATTTCTTGGTACATTAATAAGCGTCCTAAATGTTTGGAGTTGTTCATTGTGTTCAATGTAATTAGTTAAAAAATATTAATCGTTAGTTTAATGGTTGAGCTTGTTCCTAATTTCCTGTCTTTCTAATATTTTTTTGGATGGAAACTTAACATTTTAATAACGTAATCTGAAAAGCAGTGGATTTGCATCATTTTAAACTGTAGCGCTTTGAAAGAAATTTTTAATTACAATGTACTGCAGCCTAAGAATTAGATTTGTTGCGACTTCCAACTATTTATTATTCAGTTTAGTTTTCCAAAATTTTCTTCTCCAGAAAATGGAGAACGGTACGCTCGTGGTCTAAGCGTACAGATCTGTTTAATAAGATGATTGATAAGTTGATTATTTATTGTCAAGAAACCCGTAAGCATTTTCAGTTACTAAATTTTCATCATCTCTTTATTTACTTATAAGTGGTACTTCTACTTTATAATTTAAAAGCTCTTTGGCCAAATTTACACAAAAAGATTAAGCAGCAAAACGTTTTGAAACTAGAGAAATAGAGAAACAGCAAAAAATTTTTTTCTTGTATTTTTGCAGATCTCACTATAAATGGGTGGAAGTAAAAATCGACAAGTCGAACTTAAAATTTGACTACAACGTTAGAGAATATATTAAAATACCGTAAACAATTAATAAGTAAATTACAACTTCTGACTATAAAAAAAGTTATGACTATGACTATTAAAAGTCAAAAGTTAAGTACTGACTATGAAAATAATTTTTAAATTTAGTACAATTGTTAGAATAATAAAAATAAAACATAGGAAATGCCTGCAACTACAAATATGTACAACGTTAATAAACATGGAAATGCTTACAAAGTAAACGCATAAATGTCACAAATTCAATGGAAATTACTTTAAATATACGCGAGTGTAATAATGTTAATTTATTGTTTACTGTGCTCTTGATTGCGTGTTCAAAATTCTTGTAATGGACACCAATAATTTGATATTTAAAATTAAATTAATTTTTTTATTACAATTTTGACCCATTTATTATTACAAGAAAAACACAAATTAATAACATGTAATAAAAATTTATTACAGTGTTTTTTTTTAAATAAAATTTAACTATGAAAAAATAAATTACTTAAATTAAGTGTCCAACGTAAGCACGACTCTTCATTTCAAATAGTACTTATAGACAATTTTATTAATGAACTTGAAATATTTTAAGTATTATGTATGGTATTCATCGCTTATAACTTTTGTTATCGATTTCGAGATGGTGTAGGTACTATTGAAGAAAACATGCAGTTATTAAGGTCTATTGAAAGTTTTTATTCTATTCCTTCTAATATTTACATTACATTAATTTTAATGTTAAATGACAATTATCACCGAGCAACTAAATTATAATGTAGTCATTCTGATACAAAATTAATTATGTTTGCATTCAAAATATAAAATGGAATTATAATATTATTTTATCAAGAATTGTGTTGAATGTATGAATACAAAATACATAACAATAAAATTTTCTGGCATTTTATAAATAGCAATTGAAATTAACAAAATTAAATGTATGAAAAAAGTTTCAGTCACGTAGGCAATTTCGCAAATTTGAAGAAAAAAAATTATTAAATAAAAGTTCAATATTGTTCAAAAACCGCTCAACTCTCAGAAATTTATTCATCATATACAATTGCAGCCTATACTCGTAATATAATAAAAAAAATGTTATGCAAGGCATAAATATAACAATCTGATTTCAACACTACACTTATGTTTACAGCATATTAATTTATTAAATCCACATAATAATTGATTTTCTTACAGAATATTCAAAACTAACTAAGTATAAAAAAATTAAATATATTTTAGAGTTCGGGTGAGATTTATGAAATTTAAGCTCATTTCGAAAGGAATCAACTCCATAATCAAAAATTGCAATTATTTGCGAATATAAATTGCAATCTAATTGTGTGTACTTATAAAACTTACGGGGAATTAAAATATATTTTCGCGATTTAATCTTCCTTTTAGACTATTAAACTGTAAAATCAGAGTGTTATGGTGACTTTCGTATATCAGAGTATGTACACGAATTTCATACTAAAATTATAAAAATATCAAGAACGATTAATCTATTTGATAACGCATAAAGTTCTTGAATCATGTGAATACATCGAAAATATGTGACTTGCATTCTAAAAATCATTTTTATTTTAACTTTACATTATTCTAGTATAAAAATAAATGGAATATTTTAGTACTATTTCCTATCAACATAAGTTACAGTTACATTAGGTTTAAAACTTTAAAATAATGGTTACGTGGCGCAAATACTATTTTTTTCTGTTATAGACTTACATGTGACGTGATTGTATTGATTGATTTTTTTCTTCATGACTTTGTATATAGTTTTATTAAAACAAAAGTTTTTAAAAAGCAGAAAAAAAATCATGTCCTTGTTACGTGCCTCTTTAATTTACCGAGCATTCATTTTTTATTGTTGTTCATGTTTTCCAAAAATAGACCCCTCGATTATTATTGAACCGAAAATGTTATTTAACTTTTTTACTAAAATAGAAGCAAAAAAAAGCGAATCTTTCAGCTTAGACAAATACAACTTTTTTTTTGTTGGTAGGTTTTCATAACTTCACATATAGCAAGAAAAAATAGTATACAACAAAAAAAAATAAATTGCTTTTAAACGTGTCCACCTGTTTATGGGAATTAATGAAATAATGATAGGTAATTATTCTAATTTTGTAATCAAAATTTTTGGAGCGGAAATTTTCAAAAAAATTGTGACAGCAGCACTAACAAAATTGTTACATGAAGCAAAATTTATAGGCGCTCCAGAAAATTTATTTATTTTTTACTCGTAACATGTCTAAGGTGTTTATTTTTGTTGAATTCTTTGTTTTTTTTTTTTTGAAAATAGTGGCATGCAATTTTATCCTCTTTGAGTGTATTGAATATAAGCACCACAAAAATAATAAACCTTGAAAAATATTTATGTGCTTAAAATTTTTAAGTAAATCAATTAAGTAGATTCTAACAATTTTGAAGTACTAAATTTGCATTTTGATCTCGATTCTTCAAAATTTTAAAGCTATTCCAGAAAGTGGATTACTTACACGCACAGTTTAATAGGACATAATTTTTTTTGTAAAAAAATTTCTATATATTTTTCATTATATAAAAAATCTGATCTGATATAAAATTTTTACTCTTTTATTTAGTAAATTTAAAGTAACGCTCTCTGGAGACGTATTTAATAACTTCTTTTTGTAAAATTAGCAAAAACAGTAAGTAAGTAATAAATCTTTATTTTTCAAGGAAGATCGGGGCTTACTAATTCTTTATTTCAACTTTTAGAATCTTTAGGAATCTGAGAATTATTTCAGTAATCGTGTACATTTATACAATATTATTCTATTAGAGAGAATTTGAACTGAATTGCATACTCTTTACACAGTAAATATGCTATTGTAAAGGCTTT